AACTTATCACAAACAAAGGATGCCTTAATCGTGAACAGAAGTATATTCTGGGCAAGCCGAAGATTGAATACTTTTGTGGACATGCGAGGAGCATATTGAAATATATTTTCTTTGCTTTTTTTTTTTTGCATAATAAGATATAGCTCAAATGTAAGCAGCTAAGTAAAATTTGTAAGTGCCAGGCTTGATTTAAATGTCTTGAAAAACACAAATAAGTTTTTTTCGATCGATTGTTCCCATGACCAATATACTAAATGATATAGTGGTTCCCACAAACCGCCCGGCTGTTGATACTGATCAATAATTTATACACATACCTTATTGGGTAGATAGGTAGAGATGCCTTCTTCTATGCGTTACAAATTCGATGACAAATTATCATACCCTTTGCAAGAGTATAAATATGCAGTAAACACTTTAAGGCGAGCTGTTTTAATGTCTTGTTAAATTTGGCTTATTTTTGACATTGACTCAATACATTTTGGCTTGTCAGCTGCTTTTAACTGTCGGTGCTGTTGACAATGACTTGATGATACAATTTGGTATTGTTGCTGCAAGCCAAAGAAATTCACTGTCAGAAAAATAATGTGCGCATTGCAAAAGACACTTTGGACAGCAAATCCTTGGTCACCAAATAATGTCCACTCGATATGGACACGTCTTTCCAAGTGTCACTTTGTGTATTTTAGAGAAAGTAAAAGCTAAAGATTTGAAACTTTAAAGGTAGCTGGTGCCCTTGCTCGCGCAGATCAAGATCGATTAATATCGATTTTCATTTGAGCTTTTTTGAGCATGAATCGCACATTTAAGGAGTCGGACTCACAAAATCTACTTTAGGTTTTCGTACAGTATACAAAGCTGAAAAATATTTTACTTTTGGATAATGCCCCGCTTTATCCGGGCACCAAACTCATCAATATCGGCTTAAAAATAATCTGGTGATATCTGTGACATTGCAACAAATGTATCAGTCGGACGCCCTTACATTTCATTGTTGTAGTTCATTGTAATTAACCTAGAAGAATTGCTGTAGCTTAATTAAAATTAATAACATTAGTTAAGACGAGTAGCGTATTGTTCATTTGGTTGCGTAATTCAGTAATAAAACAAGCAGCTCCGAAAAGCAAAGAATACAAATTAAACACTTGACATTGAAGCGAACGTGTGCAAGAACTTATATAAATAAATGAGTAGCAGCTTCACACACACACATACACGCACACACACAGACACACTAAGCCAGAAGCATATGAAAAATTGAAGACTCACTCGCAGATATCAACGCATAAATACTTAATGACTGTGCGAACGAACACACACACACACACACAAGCACACACACAAACACACACACAAACACACACGCACACACATATGCATCAAGGCACTGTGGTGCCACCTGGCCTCAGACTCCCCCGTAGACAGCGAGCTACGTTTCGAGCTCTGTTCCCAGCGTCTGAGTGGCTTTATTCGCCAGATGATTGCTCAAGAGAGCGTCCAACACACACACACACACACACACACACACATACGTACCCTGTGTGTGTGTGTGGATGTAAGGCAGCGCACATCCAGCGCGTTTCCTCATTATTTTTGTGCAATCGCTGTAGGCGCTTTGGGCGCTGCGTTTCCCACGACCCTTCCGCCTTTATCCCTATTGTTGTTGCGCCTTTTTGTTTGCCCGCACAATATTCCGATCCGGCTCATGTGCGTCTATATGTGTGTGTGTGTGTGTGAAAAGTGTTAAGATTTTACATTTTTATGCCGCATGCTGTTGTTGTTTTTGCGCATTTCTTCTTTTCTTTTTGTTGAATTTTGTTCTGTGCCATTGGCTTTTGTTGTTGTTGCCAGCCATTTGTGCAAATTGCTCAACAGTGTGCAGCCAAAGAGAAAGAAGAAGAGGCAGCAGCAGCAGCAGCAGGAACAGCATTAACAATACCATTTGTTAAACTGGGCTGAGAGATCCAAGCGACGTCAGCGATTTGGTGGGCTATCGAATTTGATGAGTGTAGACACTTGAAAAGAAATTTACTCGGAACAGTTCGTTAAAGTTGACAATAACATTGAATGCCAGGAGAACATGTATACGATTTATGGCTATTAGTAGCTAGTTGTCTGTTCACATGAGTTAGACTTTCTCATTTGCTTAAGCACGCAATGCTTAATGTTTATAGGTAAAAATTTAAAATAAATTGGGTAACACAGTGTTAACGCCCTTAGATCAAAACGTAGTCTAAAGTGAGTCCAGAACGTTTGCTCTATAAGACCTGCACCAAAATTGTCGTTTATCCAGTTTACAACATGATTCAATACAATGAACATTAAAAGAAAAAATAAGTTTACAACTCGAACCTTATTCCTGCTTTAGGTTTGATTCGCGAATCTGGTTTTCGGTTCAAATCTTGCTTGTCCTATATATTTTGAAAATCGTAATGAAACTCGACGTTAAGTCTTGCAGGAAAATGCGTCCTAAATTTGACTGCACCCGAAATTGGCATTTGGGACTGAGTCTTCCCAAAATCATTTTGTAAGAAAAGTATGTATTTAAGAGCTCAGTCCAGTTGGATTTTGGGCAACTTATTTGGTTTCGTATTGATTTATAATAAGAATAGGTTCAAAAAGCAAGATCGGACTTGCAGCTTTGATCAAAAAAAAAACTTACTTTTGTGTATTTCAAGTTAAGACTTTTACTTCAACATTTCAAAATGGCACGTGTTCCTTGTCTGTCTGGTTCACATGGTTATTCATGCCTAAAGGTACAAAGCAATCAGGTTCAAGAAGAAAAAAAGAGAAGAAGAAGTAGAGATAACAGCCTGTATGTGCAACTTTTATGCCTTGTGGTCCTGGCAAACACGTTGCCTGAGTTGACAGCTTCATTTGTGTGAGCTTTATGCGCATTAACGTCAGGCAGTCTAAGGTATTCCGGCATCAAAAATGAAAGTTAAGCGCTCATTAAGGCATCATTATAATAAGTAATTCATGGCAGGGAGTATGAATGCTCGTGTATCTGCTGCTCATTAAATTTCGAAAGCAGCCGTGACTTGGAAATAATTCGCAGTTATGCCTCGAGACGGTAAAATGCAACCATTTGCAAATAAGACTCAACAGTACTAGCCTATTTGAATATACATATACCAACTATATTTAAAGAAGAAGCCAGACCATTCAGCAATTAGGAGTCGAGTGCTCTTACAGCAGTTACAAATGCAAGCACACTTGTCAGAAATTAAATAGCAACCAAACATTTATTTTATTTTGTGCAAATTGGAGAGCTCTGCAGTTGACCAGTGCAAATAAAACCGGAAAGGTTTAAACATGGCAACAGAAAAATAAATGCTAATGATGCAGTTTCTTGGTCTGCTGGGGCAACTATTTTGGTCTATGTATTTGCAAATACTTGCGCTGGAGTATCCTGCCATACGACAACACACAAACACAGACACACACCCACACATGCACACACACCCACACACTGTAGATGAAGGCTGACTTAATTTGTTTACTAAATGACATAATACCAAAAAGGCCAACTGGCACTGGCATGGGGTAGCTATATTTAGACATAAAGCAATTCCATGCGAGCCAACTAAATATCAAAAGCAAGGGCATGAAAAAAGACAATAATAAAGGCAACACTCCAGACACAAACACATACACACTCTCACACACACACACACACAGTTAATGTGCTTGAGCGTGTGCACACCATGACGTATGCGTAATGCGCAGAAGGAGCCTCAAGTGCTGCGTTCTGCGTTTTGTTTTCTCGTGTTGGCCATTTATCAAAATGCCAACAAATTACAAAAACAACACACACATTATGTAATTATAAAATAAATTAATAAGTATAAACTATAATGTACGAATATTTAATATACGCTCTTTGATAAATGAGCCAGCGTCAAGCTTAAGCAACAAAATGACAGCTGGTCAACGAGCGCTACTGGCGAATAAAGTTTCTACATATTTACTTGTTTATTAAATATGCATTGCCCCAATATAAATAGACAAGTAAATAATATGCATTGCTATTTTCCGAACATAATACCAGCATGCACATTCATGTCTGTCCAAGGACATGTCTTAATTAATAAGTGCAGTTGCAAGCCAGCAATCATCATTGAAACCTGAGAAATACGAGCCTATGTTAATGCATACTTTGTCTAATAATTAAGCTTGTACTGCTATTGAAATTCAATGAAAATTACTTTAGTTGTTATGGCTACAAGGCATAAGACTTTAAAAGAAAACACATTAAGCTTAATTGAAACATTGTAAGAACATTATTAATATTTAATAGGAGCAATTTTGTTTGAGCTTGCTTTAATTGCCCAATGAATAAAAAGTAACGGCAAAGTAATTCAATCATTAAAGATGCGATGTTTAAAGCCTCAACAATAAATTGTGGTCTGTCAAAGGCAACCTATTTAGCTTAGCTGAGAAATTTTAAGTCTGAATAGCTTACGCTGTGCGAATAATCATGATAAAAGCTTTGATGTGCTTTGAAAACTGAAGCTTGTCGCATGAAGATTTATATAAATGAAAGTAAATTAAAGCTGATCAACATACATTTTGTAAGGCTTCAATTCGTTTAATTTAAATAAATCCTGTAAAATGTTTGCATATGCCTATAAGGCTAGAGGTAACACAAGCTTAACAGCAGAGCAAGACAGGACATCTAAAATGCATAAGCTTTATGTGAGATAGTTAACTTAAGCTTAGGCTTCTAACTAGTTTATTCGTAGTAAAGATTCAAAAGCATTAAGTCAATGAAATCTAATTTTAGGGTTCAATACGACATAAAAGTATTCTTTACAAACTCTCACATATAGTAAAATAAATCTAACCTTAACTTTGGCATCGCTGATATCGGCTATTAAGCCATTTAGCTGATTAAATGAATCGATTCAATCTTTTTATATCAAAGTACTTTTTGTGATGGTTTTTTTTTTATGAGACTAAACCCCGCTGTTTTTGCACTCTGCTTCTGTCACTTGCAGGTTTCCTCTCCTGGGACGTATCCGATTGTCATGTCGACTTGGAGGAGGAGCTCAATACAATAACACAACATGCACCCGAGGGCGAGGAAGCGCGTCACGGTAAGTCAAATGTCAAATGAATGAATGGAAACCCATTCAATCAAAAACGAGCCGTCAGCAAATTGGGCCAACAACAAATTTAATAGAACGGTGAACGCAATTGAAAGCTGTCCAGCTGGCAGCTCATTAGAGTGAAGAAGAAAAATGTATATTATTAATAGTAATAAATGGAATTCAGTTGTAAAAAAAAAAAGCTAATGAGGAACTTGATAGCAATTTGTTTGACTTTTCCAGTTACAATTTATTTTCTGTTCGTTTTCCTTTATTATTTGCAGTCAAACGAGTTGAAAAGTTCAAATTGACAGCGCGAAATGTAAATAGCGTGTGCGCGGGCAAATGAATTTCGAATGATGACTCTGCAATTATTCAACTATTTAACTTTTTAGTTTGCAGCAGAAAATTACAAAAAATTGTTATTCCAAGAAATTATGACAATTGTCTTTCAACAGCTTTCACAATTGGCATTCATCAGATCCAAAGCTCGAGCTCTCTAAAAGCTTTCTCTGTGTGTGTGTGTGTGTGTGTTTGTGTGTTTGTGTGTGTCTTTTGTGTTAATATAAATCCAAATCGGAGAGCTGCGCATTTTCATTTTCATTTTCATCTGCCCCAGTGCAACGGCAGCCGCAACAATAAGAACAACAATATGACACAGCCAGCCAAGTGTCGAGAATTGTGCGGGCCTCTCGGATCTGGTTGTCTTTGCGGATTAGTCGGGACAACGTTGTTGAAATGCATTCAAGTGGCTGCACTGCATCGGGTGAACAGTTTTCACAGTCCCTCAACTGCTGCCCCCCTTCCTCATTTATTGTTGTTTGTGTGCCCTTTGCTGCTGATGATGTTCTTGTCATTATTGCTCTCCTTGTTGTTGTTGTTGTTGCTGTTGCGCAAATAGAAGCATTCTACAAGCTGTGCAGAAATTAACGCAAGTTTGCTTGTAGACTAACATGCTACATGGGTTATAAAAATTGCACTTGACAGCCAATGCAAATATCAAGCAAATAGCACTAGTTACTCATCTGCTTACTCGTTGGTTTTTACACTCATTGAGTGCAGATTCGCTTTGCAGAGCTAATGTTAAGCTTCAAATTATGTTCAGCGACTCGAGAACCTCTCGGTTCTGTCATCAACAGACTATCTGGTTATCGACTCCGGCATTTCAAGCGTCTCGCCGTCATTTCGAAGCCTAAAATTCTTGAGAACTGCAACCATCAACTAGCGCTTTAACATTAGTTTTGATTTATATTGTTTGTTTTCTTCTGTTTCATAGACTTAATATGTACATGCACTAAATTTGTCCAACATCAGATTCCTTGATTGAAGCTATTTAATTTTAATGAATTCTTGTGTGGATAGTAAAGCAAAGAGACAAAGTAAACCTTTTAAACCGAGTAGTTATTGCCATCTTTATCCTTAATAATTACCAAATTTGAAACGCTGTCAGCTATTTAACAGTTGGTGAAGTCTAAGAATTTAAACGCCGTTCTTCGAGCATGTTTTAGTGAAATTTAATTTAAGTTTTCAGGCAATGTTTTATTCAAGCTGCTATTTCTCATGTCATGTACAAAATTACAAATTGATTTTACTCCCCTGCAGTGTTGTTAAACAACTTCGACTTGCGTAAGTTCAACATTGAACATAGTTTGCGAAAATAATAGCTGTTCGCTGCTTCGAACTTGCAGTAACTCGTGCAGCATAATAATGGAAATAAAAATGTGTAGCATACTTTGCAGCGCCTGTTGTCAATGATATGCATGGAGACTGTCCTTGGGCTGGCTGGATTGTAAGTGCAAGACCAGCAGCACCTGCGCTCAATGCCTTTCTGCCATTGTCCAGAACAAGGACTTGGGCAAAGTGTATTCCGCATTCGAATTTCTTGTTTACACTGCTGCAAAAAACCACTCAAATAAAATTCTCAAGTGCTCGGGCGCACGCACCGGCCGAGTGCTCAATAATGATGCCATAAGTCGGGCAATTCAAGTACAGTTGAAGAAATCACTAAAGTTCTAAAATGTTGCTGCAGTTGCTGAGCTGGGCACGGCTCGCTAGGCCCTTTATGTATGACAGAGACTTCACGGGGCATTCTAATTTGACAAAGGTTAGGGCGCAACCAGCCGTCGGCAAGTCGATAAACGTCAGCACCTCCACAACAAAGCGTGGCCCTGCAGTCCACATCCTGCCTCTTGTTATCCAGTGTCCAGCTATCGTTTACCTAACGCTGCTTTGTTGGCGCTTGTCAACTGCCAACTAGCAAAAGTCTGAACGTTTCCTCTATGCCTTGGCTTTCATGTTTTGTATAAAGTCTTCTCCTCTTGAAAGCTGCTTTTCGGCCGATGCAGTGCCAGCGGAGGGGGGCAGGAACAATTACCAACATTTGTTAACAGGCGCATAATTTATATTTTATAGCTTATACTCATCACGGCGTCGTCCTTCATTATCCACGACAAAGTTATGCTTTAAAATTGAATTTGATGCAGTTTACTTAAGTTTGCTTGTGGGACTTGGCAAAGTTCGCTGCTACAACTTTGCAAGTGCAACTACCACAGACGCCCCGCAGTGCTGCGCTTATATTTGAGTTGAGGCATTAAAAACACTGCTTGGCATCCAGCTATTCATAAGCTTTCTGAGAAAGAATTGGCCAACTGCAAGTTTCTTCTGTTTATTCCCTTAATTAACCACAACATTAATATCACTAAGTTGACACTGGGATATATGACCCAAAGGGAAAATGTGTTAGAGCCAGACTTTGTTATGCTTGCTAGCGACATTGCTATCCCTTGACTAATCAGATATCATACAATTCAATAAAGTCTTTCAGCAATTGACAGCTGACATTAAAAGCACTCGTCATTCGTTGAACTAACACAATACTCGTAGCTTGCAATTTGTAAGCTATTTACACGCTGCTCAAAGTTGAATTCTCTGCTGTTTTTTCAACTGATTACAAATAACAACATCTTCATACGTGTTTGTTCGTCACTCGTCACGACTTTCATTTGTTTTATTACGTACTCGATACTCTATAGTTCCAAGCACAGCTTCCTGACACACTCGTTATACTTTTAAGGCACTTGTCTGTTCACTTCATGGTTGCACTTAAAAACGTGCAGTTAGTTCACTCGCCACGCGATACACTTTGAAGCCATTCATTGGTCAGTGCTCTCTCAGTACTCGTTACTTGCGACTCGTTATATTTATAGGGCACTCGTTAGTTTGTGATGTGTAAATGCAACCTCAGATTTTTGATCTGTTAACAAATTACGGCACTCATTAGATTGGGTAACTAACGTTTTATTGTGAGCTTTGCACACTTTTCCATTGCTAAGCTTCTATGAGAACACACATAACCTTTAAAGCCGTACAAATTGTTGAGATAAAATATATGCAAAAATTGATTGATAGAGCTTGGCAAACATACAGCTTAACTTTCAAATACTAACGCGCTCACACATACGTATAACAGACAAGGCCATATTGACAACGACTGTGCAGCTCATGCATAATTCAAGCACAGCCCATGAATGGGATGGCACAGAAATAAGAGAAAGAAATACAATAAGATAGTCGCGCCAACGCCCCTGCAGGCAAAACTTAGGCAAAGAACTGAATGTCGGACAGTCAGTCATGCACACACACACACACACACATGCACACACCCACATATACACACTTACATATACATATTTGCATACGTACACTCCCACTCCAAGAATAGCTGTTCGCTCCAACTGAGCTTTCAGCGGAGCGAGATGCTTGCCAGAGACATATCTGGCAGCAGAGATAAGCAAATAGAAGAATGCCAGCTTAAAACTAAAATAAAACATATAACTATCACGTCACCGAATGTTCAGCACACTTACTCCAATAAAAGCTGCTGAGTTATGTTGAGTCGATCATAACCAAAATCTGTAAAGAAGTGGCTTCCAACTGATAAAGTAAATATATCGAAAATAATTAAACTCAAAACCTTTTCCAATCTTTAAAAAATATTGTGAGCAGGCATATCAGAATAATTTTACTTCAGCTAGCTAGTTTAAATCCAAATTTAAAACAAAAAAAAAAAAAAAACTTTGAAAACAACTAAAATGCTGAAACACGACACGGTCCTCGTGCACCCTTGCTCTGATGCTATATTTCACATGGACGTGAAGGACATGCTGACAGGCGTCAATCCATATCAGCGACGCTTATCAATGATGCCCGTGACATGAGCCTGGCTCAACTACATAAGCCAAGCCAAGGCACACAGAACAGCTGACGTGGGACCTTCTGTGGGTATCTGGTCGCGCATTGCATTGCTTTTAATTATGCGCCCTGGACAGGCGAAAGAAGAAGAAAGAGAGGACCGAGCTGGCGCTGATAGGGGGTAGACCAGACAACTGGGCCAGTTGCCAATGCTTTGACGCTGACAACATGTTATTGGGTTTGTTGAACACCAAACTAGAGACGCCGCATCATCAACATCATCAGCAGCGGCAGCATACAGATTTTGTATCTGATCTATGATTAATGATGCATACGTCTGATGGACGCCTTAAAAAAAATGCGCTTAACCCGCGTGCCACTGCATATAGTAATTGAATTGAATTTTTGGACAAACTAATTAAAATACATTATCCAGTTATTTTGTGTATAAAGCGCATTTAAATTGAATAAATCAACGCGAATGCTGCCCCTCTGAAGCGTGAATACCTATTTGAATAAGCCCATTGCCGAGCACTGGCTGCATACATAATTGTGCAGCCAGGCTGGTAATTCGTTAACTGGCTTTTAAGCCAGTCCCAGAACGCAAGAGCCACATAACATTTACCACCGGCTAGCCCATGGATAACATTTTTGGCAGGGTCAGCAGAGTACGATGCATAGTAACTAACCTTGTCGTCAGGTGAATCCAAAAATATTGCAAGCAATTCTTAAAAATATCAGTTTCAAAAACAAACTAAATGTTTAGCATTAATTTAGAGTCTTCAAAGGGTCAATAGTCAGTAGAGTTCGCGCCCACGCAAATCTAAGTCACTTTTACTTATATTTTCTGTTGGGCCTTAAACTACAGAGCCTAAATATTGTACTACTTTTACCTAATTATCCTATATTTGACTGACTAGAATAAGAAATACCTTCGTCGATTGACATATTGACATATTCCGGATGTATATATATATATAATAATATATTTATATACTTTAAGAATCTTTAATTCCATGCAGTGCAATACAACCTTGGTATGGAAAATTATGTTTGACTGATTGACTAGCCTAGACAATGCCTTGGTAGATTGTCCTATTCCGGCGACAGATAGATCCATCATGACTCTATGAAACTTTAATTCAATGTAGCGCCCCTCAGGGGCTACGAGGGCTAGTACTAAAACTGGCTATAGGAAAGTTTTTTACACGTGCGGACTTTTGCACGCCGGCTTCACAGCAATCTTTTCCGCCATTTTTCGTTTGAAGGGGTGTGCGGGAAGAAGGACTTCAGTGCCGGGTGGTGACCGGCGCCAACTGTAATTACTTTGCAGTCCGGCACAGAAAAAAAGAAGCATAAAAACAAAAAACAAGTGGAATTGGAGAACAAAAAAATGGAGAGAAATCATAAAACACAAAAAGTTTCCGCCTGTTGTTATGCAAATTTGCTTTGTTTCAAAACTTGACAGCATACCGAGCGTAGGCATTAAAGTACAGTTATTAACGGTTAATCTGCGGCCGTTCGCCATTTTGGTTAGGTGTGGCCAGCGCGCGAAAACTTTTCAATGGGCTTTGCAATGCGAAAAACTGCACTTGACACAAGCCCGAGTACTGGCTGGCACATTGTGCAGGAGGTTCTATTTTCTTTTTTTTTTTTGAACTACATTCATGTCGCCATTCGCCATTATTTTGCGAGAAGCCAAGGCGATTGGGAGCTGGGCTGTGGGCGGTATTTGCCACCAAGTTGATGCAACTTTTCCATTGTATGTGGCTTTCAAACTTTGCGTTGCCATTGAGTGCTCGATCTGCCACTCAGGCCTATTGGTTCGTATCTGTTCTGTACAGTCTTTGTGGTTTTCTGGCTTGGCAAACCAAGTTCTTAAGGGACATTTGTAGTTGGACATTCGAAACTGTAAATACTTTTAAGGCGACTTGCATAAGAAGGCTAAGCCAACAACACAGTTTCCAACTGTGTACAGAATGCCTTTTATATATACCAGCTATTAAGACACTTACCTGTGATTTATAATGGAATTCCGTTCCGCTTCTCAATCAAATAATACGATAGCGTTCAATTGTGGACATATCATTCGAAAAGTTAGCAACAAAGAGTTAGCTGCTTAACTAAGTAACTTTAAACAAGTTTTAAGCTTTGTTGCCTTCCAGTTGTTTTTAAATATTTTCGTATAAATTCCAGTCAGGTCAACTGATTGCTTCCCAAGTGACCTTAAAAAGAAGCGATTTATTAAATGATGGGGTAAATGCACGTGAAAAACTAGAAAATAAAGTCATGTTTATTCTCTTTTGTAAATGTATAACTTACAAGCTAGCTCTAAATGACAACCAGATGTCAAACAAAAATAATATTGCCAGATCCACTTCTTTTTTTATTAATCAGCCTCGAACTGCTCGTCGGAGCATCAAATAGTCTGGAATGTGTAACCTTCATTCGATTTGATTTATACGAAATGACACTTAGGAGCTGCCTTCGTGAGGTTAATGAGATGCAAATGCTTTAACCGCGTTTTATTTATGAAACTCGAAATTGTCACGCGCCTGTAGGGGCCTGTACAAGGCAGTAAAAGAAGTAAGCGCGAATGTTGCCAACCTTAATTCACAAATTGCGTATACGCACGGGTGCCGCATGCGTTAAATACGCACCCGGACCGCAATATGTGGGTATATATGTCACTGCGTTTCAGAAACGCACACAAAAAAGTACTTTGTTTGTATCCGAGAGTGTGTGCATAGGTCTGATAAATAAAAGCCACACGCAGGTCGCTATTAAGATTATCATTTATAAAAAAAAAAGCATGTGGGACATGCGGAGCTGCGAATGGTCTGAGCAGCCGGACACTCGGACAGACAAAACGCCTGGGAGGCGGCAAGCTTGAGTGAAGCCATACGTAGATGCACGCTTGGGCGCACTCCAAGCTCGATGGCTCGTCGCTTTTTTTACGCGTACGTGGGCACATTTGAACGTTAGACCGATGTGGCGTATACGTAATGTGCACACATACATTTGGAATGTGTGTGTGTGTGTGTGTGTGTGTGTGTGTGTGCACATATTTGTGTAGGCTGTCACATGGCATGTGCACCCGATTTTTGGGCTTTGGCAACGACTATTTAGTACAGTAAATGCGTAAATTATTTACATACGGCTCGCTGTTAAAACATTTACTGCTGGCATCGGCCAGAGAAAGCGCACTCATCCAGTGACGATGGCCATCATCATGATGGTTGACAGCAAATGACATGACAAGGTCGTCAGCAAGGTCGCATGCTTCGGCTTCTGGCACGAATGGCTGACCAAATAGTCAGCGTTAAAGCTGACTGGAAATCTTAATTAAACCATAAAAATTAAAGATTTATGAAATGATTTTCACTGAACTGCAGCCGCCGTGCAGCTGTGGTACAAGTGCGAATAAAATGCTTGACAATAAAGCCAACTTAACTCGCCGTCCACCCACATTCCACCCACCGTCTGACAATTTAAAGCCACTTGATTTGGTGTGCGTGCCTAATGCTCGGATTCTTTAGCTGGGACACAAGCGTTTGGTAATCCAAGCCCCTTGTTCGCTTGCCACTCGACGTTTTAGCTATTCATTAGTGCGCTCGGTGGGTTAATGTTGAATGGAGGTTCAACCAGACCCACCAATCCACCAACCAACCCACCGGACGCCCAGACCGACCGACCGACCGAGCGACCAGTTGTTCGGTTAGCTGAGTCAGGCTTACCGCAAATAATAAAATTTCTGCGTGGTTGGCAGTAGAGACCGCTAGACAGGCAAGAGCGGGAGCTACTTGGGAGCACTGAAGACCAGCTACGAGCTACTTGAATATATTGCACGCAAGCACATTCCATTTATACATATCTAACTAAATATTAATGATTTTAAGAGCTTTTCCTTGCTAACCAAGCAAATTGTGAGCAGATGATTATTTAAGAGATAAGCAAACAATGCTCGACCAGAAATAGACTAGAAGCATGCTTATTTTCTCCCCTCCTCCCCTTTCGAAGTGCTTAATCGGTTTTAGCTGTTCTTAATTTAAAGCTTATTTACAATCTATATTGATGATGGGAGTGATATGTTACCTTTATACTTGGAATTTCTCTTCTTAAATTTCCAGGTGAGCGACTAATACAGTATGCCAGCGAGAATCTTGTGACGGAGGTGCTCATACATCCGCAATATAACACGCTTATACAATGTATGCGCAATCTACTAAGCAGTTTTACGAGGCATCGTCACATTATACATGCTGGGTATACCTTTAGCGGCAACGGTTCTTGGATCCTACAGGTCAGTCACGGGTCAAGGGCTGGAGGTAAAGCTTATGCTAACAATGTGTTTCCCTGCAGGATGGCACCTTCTCGGTGGCTGACTTTGCGGAGGCATTTCAAGAGCACGACGTACAAAGGGTAATACGCGCCTATGCGGATACCATAACGATGAATATACACTGCGCAGATGCGGGTCTGTGGCACACGTTGCCGGATAAGGTTTTTTCACGCCAGTGTAAAATACGCATCAATCCGGTAGATGTCCTGGACACCAGTAGCGAGTACATTAACGGCTTTATAGGTACGACTTATCCGAGCTCAAATTGAAAAACCTGCAATTTTATATCCCTGACGTATTGCAGACTATCTGGCGCCAATGCTGGTGCCAACTTCGTTGCGTGAGTTGCTGGAGACGTCCGATGTGGTGGGCAATATACGTTTTACGCACCCCACTCTCTATGTATTTCCCGGTGGTCAGGGTGACGCCGCCCTCTTTGGCATCAATGGTTTTAACATGCTGGGTAAGTTGCCGGCTAAAAAAGATGGGTGAGCTCTTTTGTAATTTCTGTGCCTTTATAGTTGATGGCGGCTTTAATCGTAAGGCTTGTTTCTGGGACTTTGCACGTCATTTGGATCGCCTTGATGCGGTGCTGATGACGCGTCTGAACAACAGCAATGTCCAGGGTCTTGGTGCTGTGGTGGCACGCAAGCGGGATTCCCACGTCTATCCTCAGATTGGGCATTTCTTTGGCAACGTTCCCGATCGGAAGGGTGGCCTGCCCAGTCCTGATGGTGATAAGGATCGTAATCCTCTGCTCATCGATCTTTTTGAGCGCGGCCATGGTCTCGTCAATGATCTCAAATCGCTCGACCTCAAGCCTCAGTGCTGTTATCGCAATCAAGAGCCTATTAATTTGTACCACAAGGTCGGCCACGGAACCCTGGACATGTATGTGATAAGCCCTTCGCGGGATTCCAAAGAGGTCAAGGACTTTTTGCAGAAATGGAATGCGGGTGATCAGCGTTTGTTTGCCGCACGCGACACCAAAGAGTTTAACTTCCCCTTGCAAAATTTGGTATCTATCTGCGCGTTGCTTGTCTGGCAACCAGCTAATCCGGATGATACCATAACCCGCATCCTTTTTCCTGGCAGCACACCAGATTTTAAGATCCAGGAGGGTCTGGAGAAGCTCAAGCATCTTGAGTTTATGAAGCACTCAACATGCACGGCCAAGTCTATAGCCCCAGCTATACAGACCGTAACCAGCACCAGAAAGACACTTAAATCTGCCATTGAGGGCACTCCGCCCAGTGCCAGTTACAAGCCCAGTAAATTCGGTCCAACTGCTATCGCCGCTGTCGCTGTGCAGCAGGACAATAAGGCCAAGGAAGCTAAGGAAGCAGCGGCAGCTGCAGTGGCGGCTGCAGCAGCAGCAGTTTCAGGGGAAACATCCGGGGAACAAGTGGACCAATCTGCACCACTTGTTAGCGCCAAAGCGGACTCCGTAGACACAGATGAGCCAGAGGCTGAGCCCGAGCTCGCTGTCGACACCGGTGATGAAGGAGCGCCCGAGCCATCCGTTCCCTCAACAGAGCCAGCCGATCAGGAAGACAACAAGGATGCTGACGAAGAGAAAAAAGTGGAGGTGTTGATTGTCAAGCCACAGCCGTCAACTGCATCAGTTAAGGATGCAGTTGACGCGCCCCCTACTGAGGTTGCTAGCAAGACAGCAAAGGCCACCAAAGGCAAGCCAGACAAGCCACGAGCGGAAGTTAAGCCAGTTGTACGCTCAAGAATTGATAGCAAGCCGCCCAAGTCCATGGACCGGAAGCTGGTTAAGCGTGAGGATAAAAAGAGTTCGCCTACTGCCACGCCAGCTGTAAGCCGTACGCCTGCTACACGTGATGTCAAGCCCAAAATAATAACACGCACCACCAAGTCGAGTCCCAGCAGCACACCTGCTAAGAGTGCCAAGGAGGCCAATAACCGCAAGGTGCTTGAGTCCAAGCAGCAGGCGACGTCCGCGCGGCAGACAACTACCAGCACACGTCGCACTGTTAGCACCGTGGAGAAGAAGTCGCAACAGGTCGAGTCGAAAACATCGCAGCACACAACGACACAGGCAGCGCAGCGCAAACCTATCTCACGAAGGCCACGTGGGGTATCACCTTCCAAGCGGGCTCCAGCGCCAGGCAGCCCAATTAAATCAGCAAAGCCCAAGCCGGATTTAAAGAAGTCGCGTCTGGATAAGGGCGGCACCACAGATTCTAGCCTGGTATCCACACCGTCGGCGGATGAGGCGACTGCAGCCAAAAAGATGCTAGAGTTAAGCGCCTCGCAAGAGCTGGATGCGGAAAAGCAACGTGAGTTGGACGATCTAAAGGAGGAGCAGGAAGTGGTACGCGAAATTGAAGCTGTCTTTAGTCGAGACGAGATGAAGCGACAACACTTGATCAAGGCGGAGCTGCGCGAGATGGCCAAGCAGGACAGCACAACGGAAGCCGAGGAAGAAGAAGAATACTTGATTATTGAAAAGGAAGAGGTCGAGCAGTACACTGAAGACTCAATTATTGAACAAGAGCAGGAGAGCAGCATGACAAAGGAGGAGGAGATTCAAAAGCATCAACGCGACTCACAGGAATCAGAAAAGAAGCGTAAGAAAAGCGCCGAGGAGGAAATCGAAGCAGCAATAGCCAAGGCTGAAGCAGAGGAGCGCAAGGCTCGTCTGGAGAGTAGCGATGCGGCGAGACATGAGATGCACGAACAGCTGGCGACAACCGAAAAAACAGAAATCAATGCTGAGGTTCAAGAGATCATATCCACTGCCAAGGACCTTGTTAAGTCCCGTACTGAAGAGCAACTGCCGCAAGCAAAACAAGTTGAGGAGGAGTTCTCGTCTCCTACGCCTGATGATAAGCTCAGCAGTGCCAAGAAAACGTCAGATACTAAAGACGAACCGATCGAAGCTCCCGAGGCGCTGCCTATAAACTTACAAGAAAGTCTTCCAGAGGAGAAATTCTCGGCCACCATCGAATCGGGAGCTACTACAGCGCCCACCTTACCAGAAGATGAACGAATTCCGTTGGATAAAATTAAAGAGGACTTGGTCATTGAGGAGAAATATGTCAAAGAGGAAACTAAGGAGATAGAAACTATTGTTGTGGCTACTGTTGCAGCTCCCATCGCAGCGGTAGCAGCATCAACCATCATCGCTCCTACCGAAACCAAAATTGAGGTTACTGCTGAGCCGCTTGCCCCCGGCGTGGACTCTGCGGAACGTATATTACCCAAGAAAATGACATTTGAAGCCCAACAGAGTCTGATGCGTGATGTTATCAAGACACCCGACGAGGTTGCAGATTTGCCGGTTCATGAGGAAGCTGACTTAGGGCTGTACGAGAAGGATACGCACGATGCTGGTTCCAAGAGTATTTCACACAAAGAAGAGACGGCCAAAGAGGAGAAAGAGACCGAAGATGAAAAGGAAGTCAAGGAAATGGAAGCAGCAGATGATGCGGACCACGTGTCTCAGCCAAAACAAGAGATTTTGGAAAACATTATTGCGAAAACAGAGATAACCGCTAAACATGAATCTGGCGAACAAAAAACTGAGGTTAAAACTACCGAAATTGTAAGTAAAACTATTTCGGAGAGCTACAATATAGAGGTGGACCTTGAAAAACCGACCGATAAAGCAATCAAACAGTTGGCAATTACACCAGATGAAAAAGAAGCCAGCGATATAACTTCTGAGGATGAATTGCCAGCGCATCTTGTGCAACCCATCGTTGGACCAACAAAAATTAAAGACCGCGAAGACACTGTATCTCTCGAAAGCCCAGCAACAATTGAAGAAGCAATTGAAGTTGAAATTCATACTTCCAAGGAAGAAACACAAAAACAATCCACTTTAGTAGTCGAAGAATCTAGTGAGGCCAAACTAAAACCAGAGCTCATTACGGCTGTCGAGTTACATCCAGACTCCAAAGAAACATTAAAAACCCGATCGGACGAGCATGAAAAGCCAGAATGTATAAAAGACCAAAAGTCAACAGAGCCTTCCCGACGTGAATCAGTTGCAGAGAGTGCGAAACCAAAAAGCTTGAAGGATGAAAAGTCCCTACCTGCATCTAAGGAAGCATCACGGCCGGGTTCCGTAGTAGAGAGTGTAAAGGACGAGCACGAGATATCGGAAAGTGTTAAAGACGAGAAATCTACAGAGCCTTCACGACGTGAATCAGCTGCGCAGAGTGCGAAACCAGAAAGCTTGAAGGATGAAAAGTCCCTACCTACATCTAAGGAAGTATCACGACCCGGTTCCGTAGCAGAGAGTGTGAAAGACGAGCACGAGAAACGAGAAAGTGTTAAGGACGAAAAGTCTACAGAGCCTTCACGACGTGAATCAGTTGCAGAGAGTACGAAACCGGAAAGCTTGAAGGATGAAAAGTCTCTGCCTGCATCGAAGGAAGCATCACGGACGGGTTCCGTAGCAGAAAGTGTAAAAGACGAGCACGATAAACCAGAAAGTGCTAAGGACGAAAAGTCTACAGAGCCTTCACCACGTGAATCAGTTGCAGAGAGTACAAAACCAGAAAGCTTGAAGGATGAAAAGTCTCTACCTGCATCTATGGAAGCATCACGGCCGGGTTCCGTAGCAGAAAGTGTAAAAGACGAACACGACAAACCAGAAAGTGTTATGGACGAAAAGTCTACGGCGCCTTCACGACGTGAATCAGTTGCGGAGAGTACGAAACCAGACAGCCAGAAGGATGAAAAGTCTCTACCTGCATCTAAGGAAGCATCACGGCCCGGCTCCGTAGCAGAAAGTATAAAAGACGAGCACGATAAACCAGAAAGTGTAAAGGACGAGAAGTCTACAGAGCCTTCACGACGTGAATCAGTTGCGGAGAGTACGAAACCGGAAAGCTTGAAGGATGAAAAGTCTCTACCTGCATCCAAGGAAGCAACACGGCCCGGTTCCGTTGCAGAAAGTGTAAGTGACGAACACGATAAACCAGAAAGTGTTAAGGACGAAAAGTCTACAGAGCCTTCACGACGTGAATCAGTTGCGGAGAGTACGAAACCAGAAAGCTTGAAGGATGAAAAGTCTATACCTGCATCTAGGGAAGCATCACGGCCGGGTTCCGTAGCAGAAAGTGTGAAAGACGAACACGATAAACCAGAAAGTGTTATGGACGAAAAGTCTACAGCGCCTTCACGACGTGAATCAGTTGCGGAGAGTGCGAAACCAGACAGCCAGAAGGATGAAAAGTCTCTACCTGCATCTAAGGAAGCATCACGGCCCGGTTCCGTAGCAGAAAGTGTGAAAGACAAGCACGATAAACCAGAAAGTGTTAGGGACGAAAAGTCTACAGAGCCTTCACGACGTGAATCAGTTGCAGAGACTACAAAACCAGAAAGCTTGAAGGATGAAAAGTCTCTACCTGTATCCAAGGAAGCTACACGGCCCGGTTCCGTTGCAGAAAGTGTAAGTGACGAACACGATAAACCAGAAAGTGTTAAGGACGAAAAGTCTACAGAGCCTTCACAACGTGAATCAGTTGCAGAGAGTACAAAACCAGAAAGCTTGAAGGATGAAAAGTCTCTACCTGCATCTAAGGAAGCCTCACGGCCAGGTTCCGTAGCAGAAAGTGTAAAAGACGAACAGGAGAAACCAAAAAGTGTTAAGGACGAAAAGTCTACAGAACTTTCACGACGTGAATCAGTTGCGGAGAGTGCGAAGCCAGAAAGTCTGAAGGATGAAAAGTCTTTACCTGCATCTATGGAAGCATCACGGCCGGGTTCCGTAGTCGAAAGTGTCAGAGACGTGCACGATAAACCAGAAAGTGTAAAGGACGAAAAGTCTACAGAGTCTTCACGACGTGAATCAGTTGCGGAGAGTACGAAACCAGAAAGCTTGAAGGATGAAAAGTCTCTACCTGTATCTAAGGAAGCATCACGACCCGGTTCCGTAGCAGAAAGTGTAAAAGACGAGCACGACAAACCAGAAAGTGTAAAGGACGAAAAGTCTACAGAGCCTTCACGACGTAAGTCAGTTGCGGAGTGTGCGAAACCGGAAAGCTTGAAGGATGAGAAGTCTCTACCTGAATCTAAGGAAGTATCACGACCCGGTTCCGTAGCAGAAAGTGTTAAAGTCGAGCACGAGAAACCAGAAAGTGTCAAGGACGAAAAATCGGCAGGGCCTTCACGACGTGAATCAGTTGCGGAGAGTACGAAACTAGAAAGCTTGAAGGATGAAAAGTCTCTACCTGTATCTAAGGAAGCATCACGGCCGGGTTCCGTGGCAGAAAGTGTAGAAGACGAGCACGACAAACCAGAAAGTGTAAAGGACGAAAAGTCTACAGAGCCTTCACGGCGTGAATCGGTTGCGGAGAGTACGAAACCAGAAAGCTTGAAGGATGAGAAATCTCCACCTGCATCCAAGGAAGCAACACGGCCCGGTTCCGTAGCAGAAAGTGTAAAAGACGAGCACGATAAACCCGAAAGTGTAAAGGACGAGAAGTCTACAGAGCCTTCACGACGTGAATCAGTTGCGGAGAGTACGAAACCAGAAAGCTTGAAGGATGAAAAGTCTCTACCTGTATCTAAGGAAGCATCACGGCCGGGTTCCGTAGCAGAAAGTGTAAAAGACGAGCACGACAAACCAGAAAGTGTAAAGGACGAAAAGTCTACAGAGCCTTCACGGCGTGAATCGGTTGCGGAGAGTACGAAACCAGAAAGCTTGAAGGATGAGAAGTCTCCACCTGCATCCAAGGAAGCAACACGGCCCGGTTCCGTAGCAGAAAGTGTAAAGGACGAACACGATAAACCAGAAAGTGTAAAGGACGAAAAGTCTACTGAGCCTTCACGACGTGAATCAGTTGCGGAGAGTACGAAACCGGAAAGCTTGAAGGATGAAAAGTCTCTGCCTGCATCGAAGGAAGCATCACGGCCCGGTTCCGTAGTCGAAAGTGTGAAAGATGAGCATGAGAAACCAGAAAGTGTAAAGGACGAGAAGTCTTTACCTGCATCTAAGGAAGCATCACGGCCCGATTCCGTAGCAGAAAGTGTGAAAGACGAGCACGACAAACCAGAAAGTGTAAAGGACGAAAAGTCTACAGAGCCTTCACGACGTGAATCAGTTGCGGAGAGTACGAAACCGGAAAGCTTGAAGGATGAAAAGTCTCTGCCTGCATCTAAGGAAGCATCACGGCCCTGTTCTGTAGTAGAAAGTTTGAAAGACGAGCATGAGAAACCGGAAAGTGGTAAAGACGAAAAGTCTACCGAGCCTTCACGACGTGAATCAGTTGCAGAGAGTGCGAAACCAGAAAGCTTGAAGGATGAAATATCTCTACCTGTATCTAAGGAAGCATCACGGCCCGGTTCCGTAGTCGAAAGTGTGAAAGATGAGCATGAGAAACCAGAAAGTGTAAAGGACGAGAAGTCTTTACCTGCATCTAAGGAAGCATCACGGCCCGATTCCGTAGCAGAAAGTGTGAAAGACGAGCACGACAAACCAGAAAGTGTAAAGGACGAAAAGTCTACAGAGCCTTCACGACGTGAATCAGTTGCGGAGAGTACGAAACCGGAAAGCTTGAAGGATGAAAAGTCTCTGCCTGCATCTAAGGAAGCATCACGGCCCAGTTCTGTAGTAGAAAGTTTGAAAGACGAGCATGAGAAACCGGAAAGTGTTAAAGACGAAAAGTCTTCAGAGCCTTCACGACGTGAGTCAGTTGTGGAGAGTGCGAAACCAGAAGGCGTGAAGGATGAAAAGTCTCTACCTGTATCTAAGGAATCATCACGGCCTGGTTCCGTAGCAGAAAGTGTAAAAGACGAGCACGACAAACCAGAAAGTGAAAAGGACGAAAAGTCTACAGAGCCTTCACGACGTGAATCAGTTGCGGAGAGTGCGAAACCAGAAAGCTTGAAGGATGAAAAGTCTCTGCCTGCATCTAAGGAAGCATCACGGCCCTGTTCTGTAGTAGAAAGTGTGAAAGACGAGCATGAGGAACAAGAAAGTGTAAAGGAAGAGAAGTCTACAGAGCCTTCACGACGTGAATCAGTTGCAGAGAGTACGAAACCGGAAAGCTTAAAGGATGAAAAGTCTCTGCCTGCATCGAAGGAAGCATCACGGCCCGGCTCTGTAGTAGAAAGTTTGAAAGACGAGCATGAGAAACCGGAAAGTGTTAAAGACGAAAAGTCTACAGAGCCTTCACGACGTGAGTCAGTTGCTGAGAGTGCGAAACCAGAAAGCTTAAAGGATGAAAAGTCTCTACCTGTATCTAAGGAATCATCACGGCCTGGTTCCGTAGCAGAAAGTGTAAAAGACGAGCACGACAAACCAGAAAATGAAAAGGACGAAAAGTCTACGGAGCCTTCACGACGTGAATCAGTTGCGGAGAGTACGAAACCAGAAAGCTTGAAGGATGAAAAGTCACTACCTGCATCTAAGGAAGCTTCACGGCCCGGTTCTGTAGTAGAAAGTTTGAAAGACGAGCATGAGAAACCGGAAAGTGTAAAGGATGAAAAGTCTACAGAGCCTTCACGACGTGAATCAGTTGCGGAGAGTGCGAAACCAGACAGCCTAAAGGATTTAAAATCTGTACCTGCTACTAAGGAAGCCACACGGCCCGGTTCCGTAGCAGAAAGTGTAAAAGACGAGCACGACAAACCAGAAAGTGAAAAGGACGAAAAGTCTACGGAGCCTTCACGACGTGAATCAGTTGCGGAGAGTACGAAACCAGAAAGCTTGAAGGATGAAAAGTCACTACCTGCATCTAAGGAAGCTTCACGGCCCGGTTCTGTAGTAGAAAGTTTGAAAGACGAGCATGAGAAACCGGAAAGTGTAAAGGATGAAAAGTCTACAGAGCCTTCACGACGTGAATCAGTTGCGGAGAGTGCGAAACCAGAAAGCTTGAAGGATGAGAAATCTCTACCTGCATCTAAGGAAATATCACGACCCGGTTCCGTAGCAGAAAGTGTTAAAGACGAGCACGAGAAACCAGAAAACGTCGAGAACGAAAAGTCTACAGAGCCTTCACGACGTGAATCAGATGCAGAGAGTACAAAACCAGAAAGCTTGAAGGATGAAAAGTCACTACCTGCATCTAAGGAAGCATCACGGCCCGGTTCTGTAGTAGAAAGTTTGAAAGACGAGCATGAGAAACCGGAAAGTGTAAAGGATGAAAAGTCTACAGAGCCTTCACGACGTGAATCAGTTGCGGAGAGTGCGAAACCAGACAGCCTGAAGGATGAAAAATCTCTACCTGCATCTAAGGAAGCCTCACGGCCTGGTTCCTCGGTGGAAAGTGTGAAAGACGAGCACGATAAACAAGAAAGTGTAAAAGACGAAAAGTCTACGGAGCCTTCACGACGTGAATCAGTTGCGGAGAGTGCGAAACCAGAAAGCTTGAAGGATGAAAAGTCCCTACCTGCGTCTAAGGAAGCAACACGACCCGGTTCCGTAGCAGAAAGTGTGAAAGACGAGCACGAGAAACCAGAAAGCGTCAAGAACGAAAAGTCTACAGAGCCTTCACGACGTGAATCAGTTGCAGAGAGTACAAAACTAGAAAGCTTGAAGGATGAAAAGTCTTTACCTGCATCTAAGGAAGCATCACGGCCCGGTTCCGTAGTCGAAAGTCTGCACGACGAACAGGAGAAACCAGAAAGTGTAAAGGACGAAAAGTCTACAGAGCATTCACGACGTGAATCAGTTGCGGAGAGTGCGAAACCAGAAAGCTTGAAGGATGAAAAGTCCCTACCTGCGTCTAAGGAAGCAACACGACCCGGTTCCGTAGCAGAAAGTGTAAAAGACGAGCACGAGAAACCAGAAAGCGTCAAGAACGAAAAGTCTACAGAGCCTTCACGACGTGAATCGGTTGCAGAGAGTACGAAACCAGATAGCTTGAAGGATGAAAAGTCTCTACCTGCATCTAAGGAAGCGTCACGGCCCGGTTCCGTAGTCGAAAGTCTGCACGACGAACAGGAGAAACCAGAAAGTGTAAAGGACGAAAAGTCTACAGAGCATTCACGACGTGAATCAGTTGCGGAGAGTGCGAAACCAGAAAGCTTGAAGGATGAAAAGTCCCTACCTGCGTCTAAGGAAGCAACACGACCCGGTTCCGTAGCAGAAAGTGTGAAAGACGAGCACGAGAAACCAGAAAGCGTCAAGAACGAAAAGTCTACAGAGCCTTCACGACGTGAATCGGTTGCAGAGAGTACGAAACCAGATAGCTTGAAGGATGAAAAGTCTCTACCTGCATCTAAGGAAGCATCACGGCCCGGTTCCGTAGTCGAAAGTCTGCAAGACGAACAGGAGAAACCAGAAAGTATAAAGGACGAAAAGTCTACAGAGCATTCACGACGTGAATCAGTTGCGGAGAGTGCGAAATCAGAAAGCTTGAAGGCTGAAAAGTCCCTACCTGCGTCTAAGGAAGCAACACGACCCGGTTCCGTAGCAGAAAGTGTGAAAGACGAGCACGAGAAACCAGAAAGCGTCAAGAACGAAAAGTCTACAGAGCCTTCACGACGTGAATCGGTTGCAGAGAGTACGAAACCAGATAGCTTGAAGGATGAAAAGTCTCTACCTGCATCTAAGGAAGCATCACGGCCCGGTTCCGTAGTCGAAAGTCTGCACGACGAACAGGAGAAACCAGAAAGTGTAAAGGACGAAAAGTCTACAGAGCATTCACGACGTGAATCAGTTGCGGAGAGTGCGAAACCAGAAAGCTTGAAGGATGAAAAGTCCCTACCTGCGTCTAAGGAAGCAACACGACCCGGTTCCGTAGCAGAAAGTGTGAAAGACGAGCACGAGAAACCAGAAAGCGTCAAGAACGAAAAGTCTACTGAGCCTTCACGACGTGAATCGGTTGCAGAGAGTACGAAACCAGATAGCTTGAAGGATGAAAAGTCTCTACCTGCATCTAAGGAAGCATCACGGCCCTGTTCTGTAGTAGAAAGTTTGAAAGACGAGCAAGAGAAACCGGAAAGTATAAAGGACGAAAAGTCTACAGAGCCTTCACGACGTGAATCAGTTGCGGAGAGTGCGAAACCAGAAAGCTTGAAGGATGAAAAGTCCCTACCTGAGTCTAAGGAAGCAACACGACCCGGTTCCGTAGCAGAAAGTGTGAAAGACGAGCACGAGAAACCAGAAAGCGTCAAGAACGAAAAGTCTACAGAGCCTTCACGACGTGAATCAGTTGTGGAGAGTGCGAAACCAGAAAGCTTGAAGGATGAAAAGTCTCTACCTGCGTCTAAGGAAGCAACACGACCCGGTTCCGTAGCAGAAAGCGTAAAAGACGAGCACGAGAAACCAGAAAGTGTAAAGGACGATAAGTCTACAGAGCCTTCACGACGTGAATCATTTGCAGAGAGCACGAAAGCAGAAAGCCTGAAAGATGAAAAATCTGTACCTGCATCTAAGGAAGCCTCACGACCCGGTTCCTCGGTGGAAAGTGTGAAAGACGAGCACCAGAAACCAGGAAGTGTTAAGGACGAAAAGTCTACAGAGCTTTCTCGACGTGAATCCGTTGCGGAGAGTACAAAGCCTGAGAGTTTGAGGGATGACAAGTCTCTTTCTGTCTCCAAGGAAGCATCACGACCTGGTTCTGTCGCTGACAGTATAAAAGGGGAACTTGAAGAGCCGGAAAGTATAAAAGACGAAAAGTCTACAGAGCCTTCACGACATGAATCCGATTCAGAAAGTACAAAACCGGAAAGCTTAAAAAATGAAAAGTCGCAACCTGTCTCCAAGGAAGCATCACGACCTGGTTCTGTCGCCCAAAGTGTAAAAGAAGAACATAAAAAGACAGAAAGTTTAAAGGACGAGAAGTCTGAGCCACTTAAACCAGCCAAGCCGGCGGAGCGCTCTGATTTTGCTACATCAAAAACTGCATCCAGCCCTGTAGATGAAGCCGTAGGCAATGTTACTGAAATAAAGGAGGCTGACTTGAAAGAGGGAAGTTTTAAGTCCCCAATATCATCATTAGTCGAGAGTATACAGGACGATAGTGGAAATGCAAAAATAGAGGACCCATCCTGTCAGAAATCACGTTTCGAAAGTTCAATGCCTCTTAGTATAAAGGATGAAATGTACCTAGCTTTTTCCAACGATGCATCACCCGGTACCGTGCCACTCAGTGTGAAGGGTCAACCAGAAAAGCCAGAAAGTGTCGAATCTGTTGCTGAACTTGATAAGGGTGACAAGTCCAAAGTACCTTCCGACCTCAAATCAACATCTGAGAGCAAGTCCTTACCAGCTTCTAAAGACGCTTCACGACCCCCATCGGTTGCAGGAAGTGTGAAGGATGAACCTGATGATAGGGAATCTTCCCGAAAAGAATCTGTTGTAGAAAGTACAACGCCAGAGACTTTGAAGGGTGATAAGCCCTTGCCGGCCTCTAAAGAAATATCACGTCCCGGATCTGTGGTAGAAACTCTGAAAGATGAATCGGAAAAACCTACATCTGTTAAGGACGATAGCCTAAAAGATGAGGAACCATCGCGTCCAGTATTATTAATTGCGAGTGCAAAGTCAAATGAACCTTATCGTCCTGCGTCCGTAACAGAAACGGCTTCGTCACCTATTGACGAAGCGTCAAAAGAACCCATTTTGGTAGCCCTCTCATCTGCTGAAATCAAAGGAAATTACCCTACAGTATCCAGTCCTGTCGATGTTGCCTTAGGCGAATTTTCTCATACAATGACAGGGGCAATCGAACTAGACAAACCTGCCGAGCACACTACCGTTGGAGCTATACTAACTGCTTCTAGTCCTGTGGATGAGGCAGCTAAAATTTTCGCATCAATTGAAGAACATATCATTTCACAGGCAGTTCCAAGTAAATTGGACGAAATCAGCTCGTTCTGCGAAGATAAGCTGCAATCGCTTACTGAGCCACTAAGCCAAAAAGCAGAAACTGTAATTGATACAGTAAGCAATAAACTGGAAAGTGCTAAAGATTTTGTAGTGGAGTCCTTGGAGCAAATAACTAAGGAAAGTTCAAAATCATTAACGGACATTGAATCTCTTAAGGATGCAAAGGTCATTGAGGTTTCTAAAACAGCAACTATCACGGAAGAAAAACAGCACGAAGTTATTGAAAAAGTGTTGTCGACTTCGGAGATATTATCTCAAAAGTTGGCGCAGGAAAGTTCAATTATAGAACCTGCAATCGATATGCCTGAAGATGCCAGTGCCAAAGGCAACCTTGACTTGAGTGGTTTTTCAGAACTTCGTGAAACACACATTACCACAGTGGACTCACCCGAATTTAAAGTAACGATTTGCGAACGTGATGAGAGTATTCTGCATGATATAAAAGAAGAGGACGAGGAGCACAGATTTTCGCCACCGACCGAAAAGGGAGCTATGCTACCAGAGCAACCAATGCGTCCCCTCTCGCCACGTGAAGAAGAGGTTGCCAAGATTGTTGCCAATGTAGCGAAGGTTTTGAAGTCAGATAAAGATATTACTGATATAATACCTGGGTTCAATGAGGAGCAATTGGAGGAAAAACTCAAAACTACAGCTGAAATTGAAGTGGCGAATTTACAGAAAACGACTTCACCTGAAGCTCTATCGGGTAAATTAACTCCAACAGCGGATCTTGCCTTGGATGAAAAGATATTAGATATGAAAATGATGAAAGTAGATATTGAGTCAGAAAAGTCTTCACCAGATCAAAAATCTGGGCCAATTTCAATTGAAGAGAAGGACAAAATTGAGCAGTCTGAAAAGGCGCAACTGCAAGGAGCTGCAAAAGTTGCTATCTTAGAAGTAGCTAGGGACACTTCCAGGCCAGAATCAGCTACAAGCCAGTCGGGACCTCTAGAATCATTACCATCTCGCCCCGAGTCCGTAGCAAGCCAAAAAGGGGAGGAAAAACCAGAATATTCCTTAGATTTATCAAAGGAAACATCACGGCCCGTATCAGTGGCCAGTTTGAAAGAAGAATCCGAGCACAAAGATGAAAAGTCGCCAACACCAGCTAAAGATATTTCCAGACACGAGTCGATTGCAAGCCATGTAAGTGAAAAGGAAGCCGGCAGCATTGAGTCTGACTCTAGACGCGAATCAATATCTGCTGCTGGATCGGCAAAATTAGATGTTTCCGCCACAGCATCTAAAGATGCAACTCGTCCAGAATCCGCTGCCAGCCAGGCCAGTGAACAGACCAAGGAATGCCCCCGCCCGGAATCAGTAGAGGGGGACCCAATATCTTCGCGACCAGCATCAGGTGCTAGTCATATCAGCACCAAAGATGAAGAGACTTCCGACTCCCAGCGCGATTCAAAACTGGTCTCGACAATGGCAAGCAAAAAGGAAGAGAAATCAAGCGAATCAACAACCACCTCCAAGTCAGTTATAAATGAAATGAATCTAAAAGAAGAATCTATTAGCGAATCCCTAAGTAGCAGCATGAAGGTGGAGGACAGCTCGAGACGGGAGTCTCTATCTAGCTTGCTGACCGATAAAGAAACCACCAAATCTGCAAGCACTTGCGTCAAGGAGGAAAATGAACGTATTACAAAGATTATGGAGAAAACAACAACTTCAGAAGTGGAGGAGCTGCTTATTCAATCCGAAGAATGCTCCTCGGAGTCTATAGTCAGTGAGATACAAACTTCGAGCACCCAAAAGTCAAGTGGTCAAAGCACAAGCAAGGAAACCACAAGTACCTCTGTTCAGGAGTCAGTCAAGGACAGCCTCAAGGAAACGGTAGCAGAATTCTTGGCTACAGAGAAAATCATTGCCGCCAAAGAAACATTCAGCGCTGAGGCCACCAAAACAACTGATGAGTGCCTGAAGAAGTTATCTAGTGTTACCTCATCTCAGAAGCCTTTGTTTGTTGGCACAGACGAATCCCGGCGTGAATCGATGCTCAGTCAGACCAGCGAGGGTCGGCAAACGCACAGCGATCCCGAGGAGGATAGTGACGATGATGGACACGCCAGTCTAAAAGAGGCTCGTTCCAAGTCCATTGCCACCATCATGATGACTAGCATCTACAAGCCTTCCGAGGAGCTTGACACGATTGACGCCCTTAAAGAAGACGAACATGAAGATCAGGAGGAGCTTAAACAGGATGACCACGACAAGGAACCCAAGGAGACAAAATCGACTACTTCACTTACAGACACAACCACTAAAACAACCACACTACTGCAATCCAGCGAACAGATCAGCAGCACCACCATGAAAACTAGCTCGACAGACTTAAAGACAAAAGTCGAGTCCATTACACTGTCACAAACACAAACACAAGGTGAGCAAGCAGCTGACAGCACAGATCGCAAGACACCGCCAACAGCACCGGTCAGCCCCAGCGTTAAGCCGGTGAGCACCACAAGCACCACGAGCATCACAAGCACCGCGGCCACGGGCTCCAGCTGCGCCAAGAGCGAATCTAGCGCTGCCAGTATAGCATCAACATCGGGCCCATTGTCGCCCAAAGACATTAGTGGTAAGTCTAGTCCTGGTGCATTAACATCTGAAAGTCAATCCATACCAACACCGTTAGGGCGTGAGTCGCACACCGAGACGCCAGAATCATCTCCCAAGCCCACTTCTCCTTTTCCGCGTGTCAGCAAGGATGAGCTGAAGTCCTTAGGTGTAACAGCGGAGCCCGATGCAAGCGAGATCAGCGTCGACTCCAGTGAACTGCTCCCCGAGCTGCACGAGTTGCGCGGCATTGAGAGCACCACAGCGCTCAGCGGAAGCACTGAAAAGATCATAACGACAACCATAACGACAGTAACTAAGGTCATTTCTGCCGATGGCAAGGAGATTGTGACTGAACAAAAGACAGTCACCACAACCGACAGCTCAGAGCCAGACAGCGAGAAAGTGGTGGTCACCACCACTCGCACAACCAGCGAGAGCGAGAAAAGCGAACGCGATCGCGATCAAATCCTGCCCAAGGAAGTAACCATGCTGCGCGGCATTTATCGCTCCAGCACGCCCGGCAGTGATGATGAGCGTTTGGCTGGTGCCATGAGTGACGATGAGATGCCCGGCACGCCACGTAGCGCTAGTTACGATCTGCAGCACTCCAGCTCTGGCATAAGCAAGCGCTCTGATCTCGATGGCGATGACAGCCAAGATGATATACCGCCGCAGTACGGTAGCGAAGAGCATTCCACTGCGCGCGCCATTCTGCAGCCCCGCGCAGCCGATCCCATGGCAACCTCCTTTTATGGCGCACTTCCCGATAGCTTTGATGCCAAGCCCAGCACTGAGCCAATACCTATACGGGGTGCCATACTGATGACCTACACTGACTCACCACCAGCCAGCCAGTCATCCGAAAGTGTGGAGAGCACCAGCCAAACCTGGGCTGGACACAAGTTCCTGGATGAGGCCGACAAGGACTTCCAAAAGGCACTCGAGGAGCACGTACAGGCGCGCGGCGCCGAAGTAATGTCTTCCGTGACCGCCAAGTATTCCTACTCACCATCTAAGGCCGAAGAGGTCGAGCAGATTGTCAGCGGCACTGCCGAGCGACAGCGCTTTCCCCTCAGCGATGTCCAGAAGGTACGCAGCGGCGACAATCTCTTGGTGAGCTTCGGCACTTCAAGCCCCGCTGTTGGCAGTGCATCTGCCAGCACTGCATCCACCACTGGCGCTGACAGCACCAGCGCAGTGACAACAGCAACTGGAACAGCAACAGGAATAGCCACAGCAATAACAACAACCGCAGCAGCTGCCACAACAACTAGCACAAGCAGCACAACCGGCACCCTGCCAAAGGATCGGCTTGAGGAGTGGGGCAAGCCACTCGGCCTGCCATCACCGGCACCATTGCCGGTCGAAGGCGCCGACATACGCACCACGCCCAAGAAGGAGCGTCGCTTGGTGGCCACCAAGACGCGTCTGAACAATGAAAAGAATCTCCGCAAGCGTAGCGAATCGCCCAACAAGGCCAAGAAGCCCGCACCTGTCTATGTGGATCTTACCTACGTGCCGCACAATGGCAACTCCTACTATGCACATGTCGACTTCTTCAAGCGTGTCCGTGCTCGCTACTATGTCTTCTCTGGCACCGAGCCCAGCCGTCAGGTCTACGATGCCTTACTGGAGGCCAAACAAACCTGGGAAGACAAGGAGCTGGGTAAGTAAATCAATTATATACATATAGAAAAGGAGCTTTAGCAACGATTCTTACATTTTGCAGAGGTAACCATTATACCAACATATGATACCGACGTGTTGGGCTACTGGGTAGCCGAGAATGAGGAGCTGCTTGCCAAGCACCGCATTGACCTGTCACCATCTGCTTCGCGTTGCACAATTAACTTGCAGGATCATGAGACCTCGTGCTCCGCATATCGCTTAGAGTTCTAGGCCACGGGCTTGTTTATTGCATTTGACGATGACGACTAAAATCTACAAAAACAAAAAATAAAAAAAAAAACAATTATTTCAAATATCTTATACCACACTGACAGCGATTTGAATGCGGCCCCCTTGTAAACCTTAATGGGGCTAACAACAGCAATCAACACACACACACAGGCACAGACACAGACACACACTCACACCAAAAAGACGACTTTCAATTTTTGAGCTTAACGATGACGACACAAATTTCAAAAACATACAAGAAACACACAACGAAAATGACAACAACACTAATTGCGACTATAACTGGAAACAAAACTTGACACGAAAAAAAAGAGAAACAACAAAATGCAATACGCAAAATGCCGTGCGCCAACGAAAAGTTAAAAAAATAAAACACTTTCGGAAATGAAGAACAAACAAAAAGCTGAATATGGCGGAGTAACGGGTCATCTTGGATGACGCCATTTTGTTTGCCAATGCCGTCTATTTGGGCTTTTTGCCAATTTCTTTCCAAATGCAGTAAGCAAGGTAATTAATATATATTAATTTTCAAAAAATTAATTACCGAACAATGCAAATTAAAAAAAAAAAAAAAACAAACAATAAACTTTCCAAAGAAGCGCTACGTGCCAGAAAAAAAATATACTTATATACAAAGAAAAACGTAAAATCCCATTAATATATATAATGTTTATGTATTTGTTGCTTTCATTAAACGTCAAGCTACCTTGCATAGTTATCCAAAGATCAAAATTGTTTTCAAAACCGCATAGCAAAAATATACAAAAAACAATTATACAAAAAGAAAAAAATTATGAAAAACCTAAAAAAAACTCAAAAACAAAAACAAAAAGAAAAAGGTTACAAAAATGCTAAGTATATTACAAATATTATTCATGTTTCTTGTATTAGTAAAACTTTTATGAACAAACTATTGAAGAATCTCATAAACTTGAATTTTAAATAAAAAAAAAAAAAATATATATATATATACATTAATACATATATGTGTATGCCGAAAGAAGGCGAAACCATATTGTACTACTATTAGTATTTACTTAGCTCTAAAACTACAACACACGCCTAAATCATAACGCAGATATACCATGCAAATGATCAATGAAAATAATTTTTTTTTTCTTGTTCAAAGTGAATAACAAACTAAAATGCAAACCCATATAACGAAATGCACACACAAATTGTTAAAGCATAATAACGAGAAATATAACTAAGTGCTAATTAGCTAAAACCAAAAAAAAAACAAAAAAAATGTCAAATGAATTTAATACGAATCACGAGTCACGACGTATATAAAAATGTAATTCAATTAAAAGTCTAATCGAACAGCTACATATAATAAATATTGAACCAAGCATGGAAATAATACGAAACCTTAAATAAATGTGCCTCCCCAAAATGCAAACAAATGAACAATACAAAAGTCTTAAATATGAAATATCATATATCAAATGCTAAATATCAAATTAAAAGCATACACTTAATTGTATAATTTTCGTTTCATATTTCCATTTTGAGTTTATCTTTTGGTTAGCTAATTGTTCTTGCAGGCTGCAGAAAGACTTACTTAGTACCAATGGAACAAAATAATAATATACTATCCAAAAATGAATTAACTATAGATCAAACACGCAAAATGATATACGTACACTCATATAGAACCAGAAATAATAATACCAAAGTCTGGGAGAAATTGAATGAATTGAAAGCGTCGCATTGTTGAGCTAGACCTGGGTCTGTGTCTTCATGTTTTCGCTAGAAAAGTTTGAAAGTCATGGGCTTCATATATACATAACGTATATAAACGAATGTAGATGTGGGGTTAAGTGGGTTTAACTTTGAATGATAAATACTGATTGCTGTTGTTGATGATAGAGTTGATGATGCGATAATGTTAATGCTGATATTACTATATAAGGTTTACGAGAGGGTCTGATTGGGTTAGCATGGGATAGGGTGTCATGGGGTAGGGTGTCATTTAACCAGATATTGTGAAACAAAACTAAATGATGAACACAAAGTGAACGAAGGTTATTTTTCTATATTTTTTTTTACCTTTTCATAGTCATAGAATAACAAATTTGAAGAAAATGGAAACTAAAACCAAAAATTAAAAAAAAATAAAAAAACATTTAATGAAATAATCCCAAAAAAAAAATGACAAGATAACAACAAAAAATATAACGAAAAAGGCACACGCAATATTTAAAAAGACAAATTATAAAACTCAAGCATATTTTGAAGCCACTGCAATTAATAGTCAGTCAGACAGTCCAATAAAAGAGAGAAAACAATTAAATGAAAAACATATTTAAATAACAATTTTTGATTGCATTACAAATTGATATTTGTCATAGAGACTTTTTAGGATATACATACATATATAAAGCCGATTTTTAAAAAGCGCAAGCCTAACATAATGAATTCAAGGAATATATATATATATATATATTATATTATTATTTGCAGTTTTAACAACTAAAATATATGCATATACATATTTATATATATGAATATATTTTCAGTTGCTTTTTATACAAGAACAAGAACAAGAACAACCAGGCGCAACAGTCTACAAACAACTGGCTACCGTCCAGTCTACAAAAGTTTGATAAGCAACAAGCAAAAAATAAATTAAAAATTAACAAATTTAAAATTACAAAAAAAAAAACACACACACACAAACTAAAAATATATACACAAACGATTCAAGCAATTAATAAAAAACGAACATTTACTTTCGAAAGATCCAAACGCGCATGTGATAGGTTTTTGTTTATTTTGTTTGTTTTTTGTTCTTTTCTTTAGCGAATGAATCATTTTAAAGCAATATTTGATTGATTTTGGTTTGATTTGTGCTTGACTAAAACGTGAATAAACAGTTTATGATTTAATCAGCTGCAAAGTAAATACTCTACATATTTATGTATGTATGTATATGATATAAAGTGATAAAACAAAAAAAGAAAATGGAAATTATTTTATGACTACTAGCAAACAGCTTTAGACAGGGATTTACAAATTATAAACAAAATTTAAATATATGAAAGGCATTGAAAAGTTATAAACAAAATCAATGGTACAAGCACCATAAAAACTTATTTTATAAATAATTAAATTATATAAAAGACAATTAGTTAAAAACAAGAGAAGCTAACACTATTCAATTGAACAATTAATCCATTGTTTTTTTTTTTTTTTTTTTGATAAACTAATATTAAGAAACTAAATGTACTTTAACAATTGATTTCAAATCCGAGCTCTCAACAAGAACAAGTTAAGAATTACCATATATCGAAAAGAATTAATCGTATGAGTGTCTCGTAAGTTTCCTTCTAATATGCAGACAACAAATCAATACCAAGTAATCATGCACTAAATAAACACAAATGATTAAGATGTCAGAGAGAATGGTTAGTATTTGGAGTTCATAGACGAATTGTCTACATATATGTACTATGTCGCCATGAACTAACACTTTTCACTATTCGACTGTGTATGGCTACTTGGTTGAGTTAAACGAATACGAGCTGCACTTGCATATTAATTTTCAAAAAACATTTCCGCTTAACCAAATAAAAGCAAAAACGAAACCAAACACAAGAAAGAAATGCTTATAGATATACGTATACACACAAAATATATATATATTAAAATGCATAAACGACATTATATACACTATAAACTTGAATGTATGAATGTTTGCTTGTAAGCTCAAAGTAAATATTTTCTAACCCAATATTATGTTTTGCTTCACATGAGTTAAGCCTAAAAACTGAAAAACTGCTTGACAGTTTCCAGAAAACCTAAATTGATCTGTGTTGTGTTAACTCGCAAATGTTTTTATTAAATGTTTGTTGTTAATTTTTTCAGCTGAGCAATCAGCTAATCAGGAAATCAGTTATTATTAATCCATTGCCTTAACCAAAGAATAAAACGTATTAACGTATTATATATATATATATATGCAAAAGTATTGAGTGTACCCAAAGAAAAAACAAGAAAAAAACAAACTAAACAAAGAATACGACGAATTTGTTTGTTGAATTTGCTTTGAACTATTAGCAGCTTCTATTTAAATCAAATATACTTAAATTTATATGCATGCATACATATATATATATGTATCTATATATTTGACTACTATATAATCATTAGTAAAAGCAAAATGCATGCAGAAAATTGTTAACAAAAACAAAAAACGAAAAAGGAAAACCCAGCATACAATTAATACACAGCAATAAAATGCAAAATTAAATATCGCTACAAGAGCTAAATCAGTGGGTTATATTCGATATAAAGGAATACACATACACATATACAGATACAGATAAATATGGATTCAGTTCTAATTTAAGTGCGTGCACAAAGTTACAAATAGTGCTGCTAACTAGGAAAGAAGCTAAATTGGAGGAATGCAGAAGAAAGAAGCGAAAGCAAGCACAAAGAAAATGTTGCAAACAAAATTATTACAACACACACACACACACGAACACACACACACTGACACTTACACACTCAAACATAGGAAACGGAAGTAATTGAAATCAAGAAGGAATGCAAAATTTGAGAATTACAAAAATCTAAAGAATTAAACGAATATAACAAAACAAACAAGTACATATATGTATTACATTTTACGAACAAGTCAAATCAAGCTTATCTCAAGATCTATTTCAAAAGAAAAATCTTAAAATTATAATAAAGGTATTTATGTGAAATTTCAATGTGTTTCATTTCAATCATCAGTTGGGTTAAATCTAAATAACCGGGTTACCTGATGGGAGCCGGTAAAAAGATGAACGAATTTAGAAAGGAACCAACAGTATACGGCGACACCTGCACCACCGACTCTTTAATATGAACCGAGCCATATTTCATTTATAATAACAAGCATTATTCTAGTGAAAATTCTTAGAATGTGAGAACCTAGTTTTGAGCTTGTCTAGCCCAGACTGCCATCCCGAACCGTGAACCGAACATTTCTGTTTTGGCTTGCAGCCTTGATTATCAGCCTGTTATTCAGAAAGTCGATGGTCGAGATGGCGCCTACCGTCAGCACAAGTGCAACCTTAGGCTACACCCACAGACGGATTCAGCTTTTGCTGACGAAAGTCGGCATAAGTAGTAAATTGTCCTCGACTCACCTTTTTATCTGCCAAACTTGATATATGCACAGTCAGCACTTCAGCTTGTTGACATTGAAATGCGTTAATTCACATTGATAATGATTGATGAGAGCGCGGACAGCTCTGCAGGCTGCTCCCTTTGTGCTACTTTTCCAGACGTCCAGTCGTCAAGCGGACCTTGGCACATTCAGGCATGGAAGCATTACAGTTGAAGAACAGCCATAACTAAGTAGATTGATGTTGTCTGGATTATTAGCTTGTTATGGATATGGTTTCTCGTTCAGCTCAATTTGCCCAGTTAATGTTTGGTTAAAGATTTTGCAATTCCAGATAATAATTATAATTGATGCGCATTGTATTGCAATTAACTGATTAGATAAATGCTTTATCTATCAAATAACTGCGGCTATAATTGAGGCAACCTCACTAAAGTTCAACTCAAACATTTTGGCATGGACATTTTGGACGCACTGGGGCCACTGCAGCGTATCGGCCAGCTGTGCAACCTGTGGCAGTGGCGCTTGGATACTGCCACACGGCAGCTGCAACGTTCCCGCTGGCTGGAGGCCTACGGCTGTGTGGTGCTGCTACTGTCCACGGGTTACCTTCTGTACGGCTTGTTTGACGAGAGTCGCACCGCCGATGGCGAGTCCAATGAAACCACCAACATTGGCCACACGGTAGACTCCATACAGCTGGTGGGCATACGTGTGGCTCACGCAACGGCGCTTCTGGAGGCGCTATTGCAGCGTCAAGCGCAGGGCCGCTTCTTTGCGCAGCTGCGCGAGATCGACCGCGAATTCGCGAATGTGCTGCATCTGGACCTGGAGAATGGCCAATTCCGAAGTCAAATGAACCGCCGAGCACTGTGGATGCTATCCGGCTATTTGGTTAGCCAGATCTTCATACTGTTTACCAAAATGCTTGCGCCGGATAGCCACTTTATGATCTATTGGCTGTGCTATTTGCTGCCGCTGCTGGTCTGTGGCGTGCGCTATTTTCAGATCTACACGGCCGTCCAGATTGTGCACCACCGTCTGGAGATGCTGCTGCGCTTGCTGGAGTCCCTGCAGTTGAACGAGGCGGAGCAGCCGCAGCCATTTGTCTGCAAGTCCATAAAGGAGGAGCTCGAAATGGAAACGCTGGCGGCGGCTTGCATGCAGCGTCTGTTGGCTGCCAGAAAATTGTATCAGCGCCTCTGGCTGTTGGTCGCCCTGCTGAATCGCTGCTATGGCCTCTCCATGCTGGTCAACTTGGGCAACGACTTTCTGGCCATCACCTCCAACTGTTATTGGATCTTCTTGAACTTTCGCCGGTTTGCCGCCTCGCCCTACGATTTCCTGCAAATTGTGGGCAGCACCCTTTGGTCTGCACCGCATTTGGGCAACGTTCTTTTTCTGGCTCTCATATGCGAACGAGCCGCTTATTTTGTGAGTAGCAGGCGGAACCTGTGGCACCTGTGCGTCCACTGGCACTTAACTCGTACCGTTTTTCGCTTGCAGACAACGCGGCTTGCCTTGAGTCTGCATCACATCCGCGTCGATCTCCAGAATGACAGCCACAATGCACTGGTGAGTCGATCCTTGTTCACCCCCACTTCTATCTCCATGCAGACCGTAATCCCCCCGTAATCTGCTTCACAGATCACCCAGTTCTCCCTGCAGCTGCTGCATCAGAGACTACACTTCAGCGCAGCGGGCTTTTTCGATGTGGACTGCACGTTGCTTTACACAGTGAGTGGGCGTGGCTCGTACAGATACTTGAGTGTTAATTGACTTACCAATTCATTGCAGATTGTTGGTGCCACAACCACGTATCTCATCATTTTGATACAATTCCACATGAGCGAGGGCAGCTTGAGCAGCGGTACGGCCGGGGGATAGGAACCAGATATTGTAAACATATTTGTTTAGCGGATTTAGTAGCCCGTTTAGCTTTTTTATATCGAATACACAAAAATAAAGTCCCAGTAGTCCATGAGAGCAGCTGTAACAAATGTCAATTTAAACCATTATCAAACACAAAGTATTCGTGTACAAACGAATAAGTAAGTAGAACCCATTTATAGACCCACACTTGTCCAAGAATAGCGATCGCTGTCGCGATCAAGACTGGACACCTTTCGAGCCAGCATTTGAAACCACAACAACATGGAATGCCAGGGCAAGGACCCTGATAAGGTCCCCACAACTGACGACGAGAAGACCCTAATAAACACACCCATGCCAACGCCAACGCCATCGATCGATGAGCTCAGCAGTGATGAAGACCTATTCGAATTTATACGGGAACCCCCCATAGGCGACAGACACGAGCCGACAGCCAGTGCCAGCGACCATACCATTATCATGAGCGAACGTGAGGAGCCTACGGCTAGCTCCTCATTCACCGTTCCCTCGGTCGATGTCCCAAGCAACGAGGGCAACAACAGCTTGGTGGCTGTTGTCCAGCGCAGCGAGTTCGCCAAACTTTTGATGCGCCTGGGCGAGGAGGGAGACGGCGATGCGAACCAGATTGTAATAGAGCTTCTCAACTCCAAGAAGCAAGCGGAGAAGGCCACATCGGTGATCGAGCGCGTATCGGAGAACCTTATGCTCGTGCTGCGCACCCAGACTCTAGCCGAAGCGGGCATTATAACAGGCAATGAGCGCTATCGCTCCTTTAAGTCTGTCCTACAGAACTATGCCAAGCTCTACGCGGCTAAGCGATTCATTGAGAAACTCCCTATGCTGGGACTATCGCCACAGTCGAGCCAGGACCACGGTCAGGATCAGAATGAGAACGACAAGACACTGGCTCGCATGGTGGCCGACGAGGTACTGCAGATACCCGAACTACTACGCCAGCTCTGGGCCTCCCTCGAGAAAATGGAGTTCTTCAACGAGGACACTGCCTACAAAGTTTACTTGGAAGCTCGCCGCCATCCCCAGGCAAAAATTCTCCGTGAACTGATGTTAACCCGCATATCGCGTGTCTACCTCTGCATTGTCAGCTCTGCATCCTTCCTCGACTTTAGCGAGCACGAACTAATCCACGTGCTCAACAACTGCTACCTCAGCGTAAACTCCGAGATAGAGGTGAGTACGGATAACACCTAGGTGGCTGGAAGTGACATATTTATTTTTATCTCACCTTCTAGATATTCCTCTCGGTCATACTCTGGCTGGAACACAATTGGTACGAGCGCAAGAGCTGCGCTGAGCGAGTCTTGAGTGGGGTCCGATTCGGCCTGATGCCCACCTGGTACCTTTATACCCTGGATAGAACAAATCGTTGCAATCACTTTGCCAAGGTCATCTACAGTAAGGGTGTGCAAGCCCTCCTAGAAAAGGGACTGGAGTAAGTACATCTCTGACTTAACTACCTATCGCTTTGCTTATTGAGTATATTTATTTCATTACAGGGAAGCCTTGGCCTTCCGTTACAAAAAATCTCGTGCTACCAACTCCAATGATATAGAAAATCCCTTACCCCGTGACTGGGTTGCCGATCCCGAGTGTCGCCATCATCACAAGTGCCATTGCGAGCGATTTATCTATCCGACATATGACGTTTTCAAGGATTACCTGGCCAGGATTATACGCTGCGCACCGAATTACTGGCGCACTCTTCGGCCTGCCCAGGAAGTCTACCGGATGGTACTCAAGTGCTGCGCACCCCCTTGCCAGACACAGCAACGAACCTAACCATATCGTTGACATCAGTTGTCTCATCTCTCTACACCAATGACAATAACTCCTAAATTTATTGTTTTATCCGTTCTGGCATGCTTAACTGCAAATCATTTTATAGTGTTTAATAAATGTTTGAAAATGTCGAAATTGCTTTTAAATCCGTTAACACCAAGAACACAATAATGTCCATGCAATTTTCAAAAGTCAACTCTTATCTTTAAAGGATCGTTACATATATATAAATCTTATTTTGGCTCACGGGTTATGTGGATTGAACACCAAATGGAGGATTTAAGGGATCGGCTCTTAACGCACTTAATTGCTATTTTTTTTCACTTGTGATTTTATTAACTTTATAGCTTTATAGTATCCAGAGTGGGTACCTTCTTTAACATACAATCCCAGAAATTGAGCTTGTACAATGTAACGACTCCCAACTTATTCCAACCTTTATTCAACACTTAAAAATGATTTGCAGTTAAGCACGCCAGAATAGATAAAACAATAAATTTGGGAGCTATTATGATTGGTGTAGAGAGATAAGACAACTGATGTCAACGATATGGTTAGGTTCGTCGCTGTGTCTGGTAAGGGGGTGCGCAGCATTTGAGTACCTTCCGGTAGACTTCCTGAGCAGGTCGAAGAGTACGCCAGTAATTCGGTGCGGATCGTATGATCCTGGCCAGGTAGTCCTTGAATACGTCATATGTCGGATAGATAAATCGCTCGCAATGGCACTTGTGATGATGGCGACACTCGGGATCGGCAACCCAGTCACGAGGCAAAGGAATCTCTATATCATTGGAGGTGGTGGCGCGCGAGTTTTTATACCGCAAGGCCAAGGCTTCCCTGTAATGAAATAAATATGTATATTCAATACACATAGCAATAGGTTAGTTGAATCAGAGATGTACTTACTCCAGTCCTTTTTCTAGGAGGGTTTGCACACCCTTACTGTAGATGACCTTGGCAAAGTGATTGCAACGATTTGTTCTATCCAGGGTATAAAGGTACCAGGTGGGCATCAGGCCGAATCGGACCCCACTCAAGACTCGCTCAGCGCAGCTCTTGCGCTCGTACCAATTGTGTTCCAGCCAGAGTATGACCGAGAGGAATATCTAGAAGGTGAGATAAAAATAAATATGTCACTTCCAGCCACCTAGGTGTTATCCGTACTCACCTCTATCTCGGAGTTTACGCTGAGGTAGCAGTTGTTGAGCACGTGGATTAGTTCGTGCTCGCTAAAGTCGAGGAAGGATGCAGAGCTGACAATGCAGAGGTAGACACGCGATATGCGGGTTAACATCAGTTCACGGAGAATTTTTGCCTGGGGATGGCGGCGAGCTTCCAAGTAAACTTTGTAGGCAGTGTCCTCGTTGAAGAACTCCATTTTCTCGAGGGAGGCCCAGAGCTGGCGTAGTAGTTCGGGTATCTGCAGTACCTCGTCGGCCACCATGCGAGCCAGTGTCTTGTCGTTCTCATTCTGATCCTGACCGTGGTCCTGGCTCGACTGTGGCGATAGTCCCAGCATAGGGAGTTTCTCAATGAATCGCTTAGCCGCGTAGAGCTTGGCATAGTTCTGTAGGACAGACTTAAAGGAGCGATAGCGCTCATTGCCTGTTATAATGCCCGCTTCGGCTAGAGTCTGGGTGCGCAGCACGAGCATAAGGTTCTCCGATACGCGCTCGATCACCGATGTGGCCTTCTCCGCTTGCTTCTTGGAGTTGAGAAGCTCTATTACAATCTGGTTCGCATCGCCGTCTCCCTCCTCGCCCAGGCGCATCAAAAGTTTGGCGAACTCGCTGCGCTGGACAACAGCCACCAAGCTGTTGTTGCCCTCGTTGCTTGGGACATCGACCGAGGGAACGGTGAATGAGGAGCTAGCCGTAGGCTCCTCACTTTCGCTCATGGTTATGGTATGGTCGCTGGCACTGGCCGTCGGCTCGTTTCTGTCGCCAATGGGGGCTTCCCGTATAAAATCGAAGAGCTCATCAATCGATGCTGAATCCGTTGTCATTGATGTGTTCATGGTGGTCTTCTCCCCAGCTGTGGTGGGCTCCTCTGCAGGGTCCTTGTCCTGGCAGTCCATGATGTCGGTACTTGTGACGATGACTCAGCGGATATCCAATTCCACTGAAAGTTAATCTCTACAGCGTGCTTCCCTAAATGGTTTCTAAATGAGCACGTTTGGTATAAATAGTGTGTGTTACGTATCCGTATACGTATTTGAAATTGATGTGTGTCTTGGCGTAGAAACTTTAAGATTTGAAATGGATGCAAGGCCTTGTCGATGTTTATTTAGTTGCTAATGGAATCGACAACGAGTATGCTTCGACAATAAAGCATGTGAATGTGTTATTTACTGTTGCCTATGTCGCCTAGAACGCAGACCTGGCTCTTCCCATCGGAGCCACTGCGGCAAGCGAGACACCATTCCGCCGAGTTGTTAGCGAGATACTCTAACGAAGCGAGCAGCTGCTTTGCCCCACACTGAATGCGCTGCGTGGCATCCGGAAGACGCACTTTGTAGAGCAGGAGAGCCTGGTTAAGCCATGCCTGCAGATTGCGGCAATCCCCTGGCAGAAGTCGAAAGTAGAAGAATGGATATCCATAGGACAGGAACTCCTGCAGCCAATTGCCACAAAGCATAAAATGCAGTAGGACGCCCACTGTTTGCAGCAAAATGCAAAAGCGATCGATTGGTGTGTTCGCCAGTGGCACTTGGTCCAGAATGCTGCATAGCTCACTCAGCTGCGCCAGTGGATGGAAGTATATGTTATGAAGTGAGGTTCAGAAGTTTAGATGGATTGATCCAATTTAGCTTACGTCGCGATGCTGGTGTATTATAATGCTGCTTCCGGCGATTTCAAAGACAATACTCCACATGAGGCACACAGCCACCGCCTTGCCCATGGCGCATTTGCTGGCTATAAACTTGGATATGGTAATTAGGAACTTAAATGAGCTAATATGCCGGCCCATTTCGTAGAACTCGAGCAGATTCTGGCTAAAGTAATGCACCAGCATCGGCTCCAGCGAGGCACTGGGTATCTTAAATGATTTGCGCAGCAGCGTTTCGCGGGCATTGCGCACCACAAGAACCTCGTCCGGCAGCAGGAACAGAATGCTGGCCAGCACCTGCAAGGTAGCCAGTTCCTCCGTGCTCAGCTTGTGACGGCTCAGTTTCCCTAAGTACTCACAGCCCTATATGGTAAATAAACAAAGATTAAAAAAAGAGAGGCCCATTTTCTTATGTGGGAATTAGTAACTCACCTGCAAGACCGACAGCTTGTCGATTGGCAGGAGCACGCGTTGACCCAGCGGAGACAGCTTCAGAATGTTATAAAAATTGCGCCACGAGAGCAGCGTAGATTTGCTTTTGGCAAACAATTGCTCGACAGTACGCTTGCCGGTTAGCTTTTTGGCGGCGAAAGGTGTTTTGTTTGCCGCATACATATTGTATGTAAAAAAAAATAAAAATAAGCGTGGTTCCCGAATTTGAAGTGTTTAACCAGAGCAGTACACAAGCTATGTCCCAGCTGGCAACTGCAATTTTGGCAAGAACTAGAGAAAATTCTTGAGGCTTATTTCACTAGTCGAGCCATTTTACTGCCAACTCACAATAATTCTTGGCTGTCATATTTTTTAGACAATTCAAAGGTGTCGCGAGCGATTGGCACATGCCAAAAAGATAGCACACAGAAAGCAGTGCAACAAGCAGTACATCATGCAGTTGACGATTTCCGCTTAGCTTAAACTTATGTAATATGGTTAACCTGCAGGTGGATGCACTTCACACAAGTTCCGCAAGCAAACGAGTCGATATAAGCAATGCATGTTTAGGAGTTTGCGGCATAAGACTGCGGAATTTGTCTCATAGTCTCATAGGCCTGGGACTCCAAATATGAGCAAGCATTGCACGACCTTCTTGCCGACGAAAACCTAATTTGAGCTGGGAAGGCAAACTCTTTTGCCGAGGTACTTTCATCCATTTCCGGTATTGGATATTTACAGAGAATGTTTAAATAGTTTGAAAATATGTTAAAACTATTCTAATCCCAACAAGGTTTACAAAAAATTCAATTCTTACTATACAAGTTAATATTAATTCACAATCTATCATGTAATTAATAATTGTGCATCATTAGATCAAGCGCATAATCGCGGTTTCGTCTTCAAGTAAATGAGCCCTAAGGACTTTATGGATTTGAATGTACATTCTTCAATGCATCATATAATTTCTTGCCACTGCCAGAAACAGAAGCGTTCACAGTTCGCAGTTCTGATGTATGGAAGGCTATGAGCATAGCAGGAACATTTACTTGAAAACTTGTTGAAATAAACATCGACAACAGTTTTCTAAGCAAAATTCATCTTATAAATATTAAGTGTTAATTTACTTATGTTGCATACAAGAGATAAACAATAACAGTTATCAAGTTTATATTATGTATAAAGCAATGTGTCCCTATCTAATCTGAGCACGCATCGCAATGCTGCTGGGAATCTCAACATTGTTCAGCTGTAACAGTTTCACCAGATTTCGGATGAACTCTTGTGATACCTTCAATTCGTCGTCGGCCTGCAGGCGCTCGTAGAGGTCTAAGGCGCCCTCGTAGTTGTTGGTCTTGGCGAACTGGGCTAGCAGCATGTCGTAAATGCGCTGCTCGTCGATGGTACGCTGCAGACCACGGACGCCACGCGCCAAACGGAGCAGTGTGCGCACGGCGCCCTCCTGGCCCAGGTGCTCACAGTTCTTGAGCAGCAGTTCGTGATTGATACGGAATTCCGGATTGATAATGAGCCGGCGCAGCTGCGTCTCAGTGCCGGACTCGGCCAGCGCCAGCAGCAGGGCGCTGTTCATGTTGGCTGCGCCATGCACGCGACTGACCGTCGATGTAACCGTGACCAAATTCTGCTGTGCCGACTCTTTCGTTGTGCCCGGAAACCGAGCCAGCTCCGTTGCGTCGCCATTGCTCAGCTTCACCAATAGTGATAGCAGCTCAAACTGCAGCGGCGTGTGATTGTGGCGGGTGGCCAGGCGCTGGAACTCTGCCACCGCACCATCCATATCACCGCGAAGCAGCCACTCGCGCACAACGGGACCCAGGAGCGCATTATGCGACTGGCAATAGCCAAGCTTGCGCAGGAACTGAAACGTTTCAAGCGTGAGACTGCGACCAGCAGACTCAGAAGAGGTTGCGGATGCTGATGCGGATTCCTTGGCTGCCATTTGTGCAACATTATTGAGCAGCTGCCAGACATTCTTGATAACATAGTCGCCACCGGTGATCTTGTGCTGCTCGGAGCGCTTCTGCAGCAGCTCTTTGGCCGCATCCAGTTGTCCCTCCGCCACTAGCAGAGCCGCGTAGTCAATCAGCTTATGCTCATCCACCAGAAAGCCTACAGATTAATATATATATGAACATATATATAGATGTGTATAATTTGAGCGAATCGGGTCGTTAATCACCTGGATACGTTGTCTGCAATCGTTGCAAACTCTGCTGTGCGCGCGGCAGATTCTTCAGCTTAATGTGCAGGTCGAGAATGGAGGCCAGCATGCCGGGACTGGTTTGGACGTGCAACGCCTCGCATTTGGTCAACAGCTCGAGGGCGCGCTCGAGCCGACCATCGCGCACGCTCAGCTGCAGCAGGCGGCGCAGGACTCCGCGAGTGTTCAGCTGCTTGGCCTCCAGCTCAATCAGATGACACTCCAGTTCGTCCAGCGACATGTCGCGCGGATGCTTGATGAAGCCACCAGCCGCTGAAGCTATGTCCGCGGGCAGCGTCAACTCTGGATTGCGCATTTTCTGCAGCGTTTTGGCCAGCGTTTGGCGGATGTCTGCATCGCTGTTGCTCGCCAAGCTGAGCAATGACTCGGCCGCTGCTGGCGACAGCTGCAGCTGCAGGCGATGCAGTTCGTGCACGAATCGCAATAAGGCAGCCGGCTCCTGGCGCAGACGCGTCTGTGGTGCGCACATCTGCAGCAGCAGCGACCCAACGAAATCCTCCTGGCGCTGCAGCGACCGCTGCTGTAATGCCTGCGTCAGCTGGGCGAACAGTTCGTAGCGCTTGGTGGCCCGCATGTGCACGGCCAGCGCTGCCAGTGGCTGAAGCAGTAGCAAAGGCTGAACTCGCGTCGGATAACGCTGGAGCAGCTCCAGCGCTTCAATCAGTTGCTGGTGCTGCAATAGCTGGGCAAGCACATGAACCAGTGCCTGAGAGGCGCGTACGCCCACGGCGTCTAGTTGCTGCAATGCTTGCAGCGGCTGTTGCAGCGTCTGCCACAGATGGGGCAGCACATAAAGACGCAGCGTTTGCTCGTCACACTCCACGCCCAGGCGCTGCATATCGCCCAGCAGCCGGAGCACACCGCTCTCACCCTCGAGCTTGTGCTGCTGCAGCAGCAGCGGCCAGAAGTAGTGCGGACGCAGTGGCTCGCCGGCGGCATTCAGGGCCTCCAGACAACTCAACGCAATGGCCGGTTGGCGGCGCAATGCCAGCTCTGCAAGCACCTCCAAAGCGCGTGTGTTTTGACCCCGCTGTCGCAACTGGGTGGCAAACTGAATCATCTGGTTGAGCGGTGTACGCGCCCGGAAGAGTTCCTGCAGCAACAACGCCGCAAAGCCATCGATGTTTTGGTTCTCGTTGTATTTGGGTGCCGGCAGCATGCCAATCAGCTGAATCATTAGCTCTGCCTGCCCATTGTGCAGCAGCTGAATACAGAGGCTGTTTATTGCCGGAGGCACATCCACGCCAGCCACATACTCTGATGGCAGTTCAACCATCAGTTGCTGCATTAACTTCTCGTCCACCTTCTTCTGGCTCAGCACCGCACGCAGCATTTGCAGCAGCTGCGGCGCATTGAAGCTGCCGGCGTGCTGCTTTAGCAATTCGCCCGCCTTGCTCAGCTCGGCGTTTTCCACATAGGCAACAAAACACAGGGCCTGGGTGCTCAGAGTGGGCGTAATGCCCGCCGCCCGCATGCTGTTTAGGACCGCCTCCACGCCGGGTAAATCTCCACTGCGCGCATGTCCCAACAGTAGAGCATGAAAGTTGCGCTCGGAAAGCGGAAAGCTGCGCTCACGCATCTCACTTATCAGTTCAGTGGCCTGACGCATGTTGCCACTGGCACCGGCCACGTCCAGCAGAGCGCTATACAGTGCTGCATCCGCTGGGCCATTGTAGGTGGCAATCTCGGTGAGCAGTGCCCGATGATCGGGTAGCGACAGCTGGTTCTGATGCAGCATCTGCAGCTGTGTATGATAGTGCGACACAGTAGGCTGTTCCACCTTGAGCAGCTGCGTCCACAGGCGCCGAAATATCTCCAGGCGCTCGCTGCTGCTCTGCACGGGCAGCAGCTCCGGCACACAAGCGCCCAGCAGAAAATGCAGCTGCCCGGAATTAAGTCCCGGCCGCTCCCCAGCACGATTAGCCTCCAGTAGCTGCAGAATGCGTTCGCAGTGCTCATAACGAAGCACACTGTGCTGCTGATAGTGCTGCTCCAGCTGCGCCCACAAATCCTCGATGCTGGCAACAGTTGATACGCCGTCGCTGCCTTTTCGCGAGCGCTTCTTGCTTGTGGATGCTGCTTTTGTTCCTGCTGCGGCTGCCATTGACGTGTAGCTACTCGCAACTGGGAGCAGCGCCGGCATTCCTCTCCTGCTGGCTATTGGCATTGCATAATGGAGGCTTCCATGTGCCGCTGGCACCGCAGCAGCAGCCCCAAGTGCAACATATCGCAGTGGAAGACGCAGGCACACGTGTTGCAATAAATGCGAACGCAACATGGCGCTAGCCAAGGCGCTGGATCACCAAATCTTCCTTCGAACAAAAACAAACTGTAGCACGAGAACAACACGCGCGCCGGCAAAACAGCAAATAACTGCTCAATTCATATCGATGTAGGTTATCGGTAAGCAATAAATGATGTGCTATCGATATTTATAAGGTAGTTCGTTTTTATGATCCTCAGATTGGTCAGGGAAAACAGTTGATTAAGCACATTTATTTGCAACGCAGCATCACTAACCAAACAACATATGTTGTTTGGTTAGTGGCAGCATCTAGTTTCTGCGCTATCGGCTCACATTTTTATTTTAAGAACACGCACAGGGCAATAAAAGCAATCGGAATGTAGAATTAGTTATATATCAATATTAATATATATATATATATGGATATATATATATATATATGTATGTATGTATGTATGTATGTATATATATATATATATATATATAAATCAATCATCAAAAATAAATTATAAATGATCAGCTGTATTAATGGTTCATGTCAGTCTGCCTGTTGTGAGAACGCACATTTAAATATGGCGCCAAGTATTGAATGCGCACTTGCACAGGGTCGATATATCGTAACGCAATTCGATAATTGTTGAGCAGCGATGATACCATCGGTTACTTGCACATCGCTCATGCTTGCGAAAATGTAATTATGGTGCCTCCATATAAATGCTGCTAAATAGTAAAGAGGCGTGCTCTTCATCTTTAATCGAGTGACATACAGCCGCAGAAAGTGCACAGATTTTCAACGCTGTCAGCAACAATTTCTCCACCATTTCTGAAGACAACGCAGACCAGGGCAGTTTCCCTGCTTGCCCTGGCAGCATGAGGCAACGATTATTGTCAACAGCGGCAGATGCATCGAATCGACCAACAGACGCGGATTCGAATGTCAGTCAGAGAATGGAATTGGAAGCAGAGGACAAACATCACAGTACGTATGCCCACACATAGATATGGATTTACCCAAATACAAGCATTCATATTTATGCTTATTACATGCGCTTGTCTTTTGTTTATTGCCTCAGTTGCTCCTTCGGCCATTGAAAAGCTAAGACGATTCTGCTACCTAGGAAGGATTGAGGCACCCGTTTATGCACCCACAACGTTTGACCTGACTGTGGAGTGCCACTTTGGAGCATTGCGCGAACTATGTGGTCTGGTCGGCGGGACGGAGCTGGTGGAGTGCTTAAGGAATGTACTAGATGCCTGCAACGAGCCCTATTTGCCGCGCCGCGATGAAGCACTACTTGTGCTGGCCATTTACCTGTCGACGCGCACTGACGAAAATCAGCGCACGGTGGTGCGCGGCCACTTTGGCGAGCTGGTGCGCACGGATAAGGACTTGTTGTTAGTGATCAAATTTGTAAAGCATGTTCAAAAGCTGATGGAACGCAAAACCCCAATCAGTCGCACCATTCGCAAGGCTGTCTTGGATTGGTACCAGCATCAGCCGCTCGATAAGCTGCTGCACATGTGGTCACTGAACGATTGTGACCGGGCCCAGCACCGGGAACTGCTGCATCGCTGCCACTACAGCAACGTTGAGTTCGATGCAGCGACTATGGCCGCATTGCGTGTGCTGTCAATGCCCGCTAAGGAGCTGGCCAAGTGGCCAAATTCTCTAGAGCCCCTTGTCAAACACAAGGAAAAAATTGTGGGCATTGCCAATCTTCGTCTGTCCAAAAATCCTCACTTGGCCCTACCTATTATAAACCAACTGTCACTTTGCTATGAGCATATGCCTCGTCATGTCATGACCGACACAAAAGTTGTAAACATGCTGTTGCCCAAAATGAGCTACGAACAGCTGTTGCAAAGCTGGCCAACATTCATGAAGCTCTACAAGTCGAATCGCAGTGCTCAACATAGTTATATTCAGCGTTTCTTCGATCCCTCAGGATTGCGTGCAGCCAATATGGAGCCCATACGGTTGCTCCTGCAGGAAAAACGCGGAGTCAAGCGAAAAAAAAACGTGAGTCTTATTTTATATTTTGGGCCCCTCTAATATGTAATTTTTTCCCAAAGATTTCGAAAGGCGTTGTACCCGTAAAACCGGTCAGTTTTATTCAGAAGTTGTACAGACAGTCTTTCGGCTGCAACAAGGCACTTGGCTTGCGCCTGCATATAACAATTAATCTGGAGATGTGCTACATCGGAAGTGAGTTAATTATAACATTCGGACGACATTCGTTGTGGCTAACGCCCATTTTGCATTTCTAGAATCTCTTACTGGACGTTGGCGCTCGATCAAATATCTCGATGCAGTTGTTGCTTTAGCCTTTGGCTACTTTAAGTGCGATCCTAAAGTGAAAGTGCGTATTTGGCATGATAAGAGCGGCCAACTAAAGAGTTTACCGTGGATGCCTGAGATGTCAGTGGATGATGCACATGCCTGCTGTGAAAACCAAAAAGTCGCCAAAATCAAACAAACCCTAACAGACGTGCTCGACAATGCACTTCAGGATGCGGAGCAGGCGTATGATGTATTTTTGGTGTTGGTTCCACGCGCTACGCGTGGCAATTCCAAGAACAAGTCCGATCAACTTTGCCAACGGCTCGATGAGTATCGCCAAAAACGAAATATAAATGCCAAGTAAGATACATTTGTAATCATTTTCCAATTGCATTCAATATCTCCCTCTCTCCCTCTTCAGATTTATCATAATCAGCTTGCGCCAGAATCATGCCTCCATGAGCTATTCGAAGCTACGCAACGAGCACATATTGGAGCTATGCAGTATTACTGAGCAGACTCCACGTTTGATAAATGCCTTCGCTCACGGCAAGTTCTTTTAGGCCATCAGGCACTGTACCTTTAGCTACACAACTAAATAGATAACATCTCCGGTAACCAAAGAAATCATTAGCTGCTGCTCATCTAGGGCGCTGTGGTGGCAATCAAACAGGCTGGATCTGTTGATGCCTGTCACTGGGAATACACCGTGCATCTACTCGCATGCCACAGCAAACTTTCTTGCGCTCTCTATCTCTTTCAAACTAACATAAAACTACCTACACACACACAACACACGCACACGCTTGCATTCTATGGTGCATGTGTGCTCTATTTCGCACACACTCACAGCACCCTTGATGTTTACTAATTATATAAGTATTTACATGCATACCTAAATAGCTGTTAAGCTACATTCGTAAACAAGCACGTACATTCACACTCAAATCACACACACACACACCCACACATCCACAAACACATACCACTTACATTAGTACATACAGGTAATTTTTTCAATCTATACAACGCTGATATTGTAACGATCTGTACTATTGTTGTACGCATTTGACTTGAATTGGTAATTAGGCGTAGTTAAAGAATTTAATTGCTATTTTAATTTCGAAAACGATGGAACTGAATCTAAATTTAATTTGGATTAAAAATACAATACAAGTGAATCTGAGCAAAGCGAAAAAGATAAACAAATTGCCTTACCAACAAAATGTTAGTCAATCTTTAATTTTAACTAAACATACATATTAAATACAAGGAATTTCTTCGTAAAAGTACTGAAACAATACAAAAACAAAACAACGCATTTAGATAAAATATTGAAACGAAACGAAACGAAACTGATTGAAAATAGTCCAAACTAACAATAAGTTAACACACGAACAACTTAAACAACAAAATACATCTTAATATTGTTATAATTAGGTCTTCTGTTAAACATATTCACGGAAACTGCCCAAAATACTGTGACATTTTGTGTAATTAAAAAGAAAAATCAAAAATAAGCCAAGTGTAAGAAAATTGTGTGTACTTTAAAAAAAAAAAATGAAGGCGTTTATACAGTTAAGAATTCCCAATGTGCCATACACACACACAAACACACACACACACATGCGCACAAGTCCTGATACTAACCATTCATACATGCATATATAAAAATTAAGATTATAAAGCGCCTAAACATTACCGAACAATAATTACAGCGAAACACAACAAATTCGACTACATTAATTAAGTGAAATTTTTATTAATAACATTTAAATTTATATAGAAGTTTAAAAAGCCAATCAAACAAATACAATTTGGAATCTAAAGAAAAAAAAAACAAAAGTAAAACAAAGACAAAAAACGAAAAACGAAAGAAAAAAATAGCAATAGATAAAGCATTAAAAAAAACGTACTAAAACTTAAAAAGGAAAAATAAGAAATATGTATTTCTATGGACATTTTTGACATGTGTCCACTCGCATCTGTGAAGTAAACCGTTGTGATCGCTTTCAAATTTTTATTTAAAATGAAAATTAGAACAAACTCAAGAGAAACTTAAACTAATATAGATTCAATTAAATATAAGTTAATTCCTTGTGGACTGGAATGCAAAATCATTTCGAAATGACAAAAGCAAAACAAAACAAAATAAAACAAAACAAAATACAAGATAAATAAGTGAGAAAATCAAGAGCGTAACCAAAAAGTACCTAGACTCAGCATTCAAAAGCAACAAATGAAATTTGAATACTTACACAAAGACACAACTTGCTGGCACAACAAGCGCAACAGTTAAACTATCAAACTCCCACACACAGACACACACACCCACATACACACACACCTACACATACACATATACATATATATATATATATATATATATATATATATATGAGTTCATGTAGCATAAACTAAACTATATAATGTTATATTCCGTATTGTAAATATGTAGGCGAAACCTTAAAACTATTTGATTTGTTAAGAACTGAATTACGAAAAGTTATCAATAACAGCTTAAGATCAGATCAGATCAAATCAGATCCGATCAATGATCAAATGTTCTCGACACCTACATACAAACCTATAAATCCGCATTAGCAGCAACAAGAAGCAAAACTTTATGTGATATCTATTTGAAAAATAAGCGAAACCGCAAACTGATAAGGAACCCAATTCAAAAAAAAAAAAAAAAAAAAAACAAAAAACAAAAAATAAAGAAATGAAAAGAAACCCGAACATAACAAGATATAGGAAAAATTAAAAGAAAAAATTGCAGGCATGTATAATCAAATTGCACCTATCATTATCTCAATTTGAGTTTCTTTTAAACCAAACGAATGAATCTTTCACAAACAAGTATCTACTTATTTCTAATATTCACGTTTTTTTCTTTTTTTGTGTTACGTTAATTATGTACGAGTACTTAGCATATATAAGCCGCCTAATGTTACGATGTTTTAGTTAGCACTAAATAATATTAAGTACATGTACGCATATATAGTTACCGCCAATTCAATAAGCAATATTCGATACTCAGAAAATGTGGTTTGAACCAAAAAAAAAAGAGGTAAGAAAAATGTCCTTTTAAACTTTAAACTGATCATTCAAAATGAAAAGAAAAATATCTACTTAAAAGAACTCGACAGCAATACGGCGCAATAGTATTATATTATTGGTAAACATTTTCTCAAGGTACTAGACGGATGTATCGTGTGTATGTACTGCTTTCAAAAAGTGTAACTCTTTACTCTCCTTTTTTTTATACGTTTTCTTTTTATATACTTGCTTATCTGAATAGACAGATATATCCAAGTATTTATATATATACATATATACTTATACACGACATAAAGTTAAATAAAATAAATTGAACTTCAATCAATCTTGTTGTTTTTGGCTAATTTGAACTGCCTCCGGATTCGCATGGGTATCTCTGGCCAGTGGCCCATATAGTATAGCCCATGCTATACTATCTATATAATCCGCCCCAAGGCGGATTACTTGTTCTCAGTGACAATGCCGGCGGGGCCGCATATGTAGAGCTGTTGGTTGGTCCTTTCACGTATCGGCTCAAAGCCGAGCTCATCGGTGGGGATGCCATATTGCTTGAGTTTGCACTCGTATGTCTCGAGGAGGTCGTCGTGGGCCTTCCAGGCCTTGGCCAGCTCGTAGCGCAGATCGATAATGGTCTGGTTCTTGGTGTCGACCACATCGCTGACGGTCTTCTCCACATTCTCCAGCTTGTCGGCGAATTCGGGGGCACAGGTGGCGATCGTCTTGCGCATGATTATGCTGCGCTTCTCATCCTCGCGCATCAGAGCTGCAATCTTGCGCTCGAGCAGGACATTCTTGAGGCCAGTCTTCTGCTGCAATTCAACGATGACCTCGTTGAATCGAGCCTTTAGATTGGCTCGCTCGCCAACGAGAGCATCGTTGCGCAGCAAAAGTGTCTCCGATTCCCACATGAGACTCTTCACCTTCTTCTCCAAGATGATGTTGCTCTTCTTCAGGCGACTTAGCTGCAGCTTGTCGCGATCATAGAACTCCAGCTTACGCTGCAGCTCCTTCAGATGCGTCTTGGCATGCTCCAGCGGCTCCTTGAGTCGGCGAGTTTCTGTGGTCGCCTCGGCTGCGATGCGATCGCTACGATCTGCCTGGCGACGCAGCTGCTCGATTTGCTCCTTCATGCTACCGATGAGTGCCAGATTGTTCAATGTGATGTCGTTATAATAGTTTTTCATGTCGTTAAATGCCAGATCATGGTGATCTTGTAGATCCTTAATCTGCTGATTCTTGCGCTCCTCCACCTCAAACATTTGCGAGTTGAAGAACAGCTCCAGCTTGCTGCGTTGCTCCTTCATCTTCTCCTCGTGCAGGCGATCATTATCCTTGCGCTCACTTTCAAACAGGAGGCGTTGCTCTCTGTGCGATTGATTGAATTAAATTGAATTGAATTGGAATTGGATTTGAAATGGGGGATTGGTTGTGGTATTCGAATGAGAATCGGAGCTGATACTCACAGCAGCTGCTGATTGAAGTGTGCCTCCAGTTGGCGATGCTGCATATCGCTCATCTCGATGCGCTCGCGCACAATGCGGCGCAGCTGGCGCTTGTCGGTCTGCAGCTCCAGTTCCTGTAGCAAATGATGCTCCTGGGCCACCTTCAGCTGAGTCATTGCCTCGGCGCGCACCTCACCCAGTTTGCTATGGTTCTCGAACTGCAGATGCTTCATCTGCTGCATAATGTGCTTGGTATCGATATCCGCCAAATCCTGTGTGGCCTCGATCTCCTTATCCTTTTGCTGCAGCTCGAATTTGGACTCCTCTGTGCGTGTGCAGTGTCCGGATATATGTGTTTACAGTTTTAATATAAGCAGCTGCTATCCATCGAAGCGCACACTTACCCAGCTGCTGGCGCGTTATTTCCCAGAAGGTGCGTATCTTGTCGCGTTCCAACTGAAAGTAATTGCGCTCTTCCCGCTCCCGATCCATTTCCGCTTTCAGGCGCAGCGCAAATGCCTCCAGCTGATCGCGAGTCATCGCGGAGGTATCCACGCCATCGATGAGCACTGCGAAATGGAACAAACGGACCAGTTCAGAGTTGCCTTTAACTTTGCAGCAACTATTATGAAAAATTTAATAAGACTGTAGCGCAATGTCTTGTCCATTAATGTGTGCGATGTGTGTGCGTGTGTGCGTGTGTGCGTGTGTATTTTAGGACTGCACTCGTGCCCGCATGTGTACAGTCCCTGCTGTAATTGGTTTGTGTAATTGGCATCGTTGACCGGCTGGTACCGAGCCTCGCCTCCCGCCACCCGCCACCCGCCTCCCGCGTCCAGCGGGCTGCCCCTGTCGCAGGTCCTGGCATCGGCTGCAGCCAAACTTTAACCAGGCATCCTCCAAGGCTCGCCGGCCATAGAAACAATTATGTGCGTTAGAGGCCGAGCTGCGAGCTGGTTTGTTCATTCGTGGAAATTAAGTGCGCCTTTTTTCCGCTCTCGATGGGCATCCAGGCCGGCACGGGCGCCTGCCGTGGAGCATGTGGCCACTGTGCCGACTGGGCCGGGCCTGCACAATTAAATTGTATTGAGCATGTGACCAACATGGACGCCACTTGTCACACTCTGTTTTCCTGCTTACCAAGCCTCAGATTATCATTATTTGACAAATTGTTTTGCTGCCCAACTGACAGACCCCCCTCGATCCATTGCTCGCTGGGCGGGCCCACAACTTTACCAGTCACATTAATTACTTATGCTGGAGCGCCTTTTAGTACTTAACTTAACCGAGAGTGCAATGCGAACATTTTAAATTTCTGGAATATATACAAGTTCTCTCCAATCTGCATATTTAAGACGTATGCCTAGCGATTTAAAAAGCTGAAGCTCTTTTATCTAAAAAACATATAGTGGTACTGTACATATTTTTTAATATTGCTTCATTCAGTTTACTGGCCCTGCAGGACAAATTTTAAAAGCTAGTTTATCTACCTGGTAAACATATGACTGCAATACGGCAAAACTGTGTCGCTTATTTGTAAGCCAATATATGAATCTGAAGGTTTTTAGATGATGAAGATTTATACGAAACAAACCTAAAAACAAGTAGCTGGTTCGAACCTGAGCGGAACTACATATGCATCGTACATAGCCTTAAAATTGTATACGTAACATTCGTTAAGTTGGCTGCGCTTAAAAATTTTCAGAATTACGGCCTTTTTAAAAGGTGTTTAGTTTTATAAAATATTAAGGTAACTCTGATAGAAATGAATTTAGATTATTAAAGCTAAATTGTACTGCTTTGCAAGTACTCACCTGGCAGCTTCTTGCCCTTTTTTCCCTTTTTACCCTTTGGTGGCTGCAAAAAAAAAGATAAATTCAACAATAATTAATTGTAATCAATGAAAAAAATATATTATTTTTAAAATAAGACGTACCCGATTGAAAACAACATAGAAAGACAAACAAAAAAATGTGGAAAATAAAAAATTTGGCAGGCAGCTATAGTCTGGCATAAATATTATGTATTTTGAGACGTGTAAAGGCAGCAGATAAATAAATTTGATTCGGGGAATGCAAAGGCAGAGTTTGTTGCACATAACGTGGCATAAATGTGGCAGTAACGGACTTGGGCTTAGGCCTGGGCCCTAGGGCTGAATACCGCTTGAATAACCCTTGAATGCTTAATGTTTAATTCGATTTCGAGTACCCCGCGCTCTCTGGTGTAACGAGCATCAAGCTAAAGCAGTTTTTCGCAGAGCAACGCATCCTTAAAAGGGCGCCACAGGACAGGACAAACGGCAGCAGCAGCAACAGCAACAGCAACAGCAGCAGCAGCAGCAGCGGATGCTGCATGAAGCAGTGGCGCCTCGAGTATGGGGCGATGGGGCGGTGGCAGCGGCAACGACGACGCCGTTTTAAATAATGTGATGGCGCGGCTTTCAAAACAATTTCACAACAGCTGTTGGCTTATTGCATATTTTATGACTGCAAATTATTCAAAAATTTTCGAAGCCCGCGCGTCGCGACCGCCTCGACTCGCCTTGGCCAATGTGTTGGCAAAAGGCGTAAAATTTTCATAAATAATAATAGTATACATATAGAGGTATATATATTATATGTGGGTAGGTGTGTGTGTGTGTGTGTGTGTGCGAGTGTGCTTGAATATACAAATTGTCGAAAACGGACAACGACAGCAACTGCAGCAGCAACACGGGCTGCTGCTGCTGCTGCTGCTGCTGCTGGTGCTGTTGAGATTTAACGCGCTGCACAATTCTTTTGCAATTTTACAGCAGTAGGCACGGGGCGCTACTGCAACTGAGACTCTGTCTGTGTGTGTGTGTGTTTGTATATTTACTGTGTGTGCAGCATGTTGTTGTTGCAACACAACAGCCTGGCTTGGCATGAAAAATTGAATGTGCCAATGCAGCCGAAGCCGACTCCAGCTGCAAGCGGGGCAGGGCCAAGGGCCAAATCGGCCACGGGCAAAGGGCAAACCATGTTGCCTCGACTGCTTCCTATCGGAGTTGCCTCAAAGCGGGACAACCGGACAAGGTTAAAGATGTTTTCGGGCAGTAAGTACTCCCACAGCTGCCGCTGCCACTGCCGCTGCCGCTAAGTAACTCAAGGGGGCAAACAAAATTCGGGTTAAAGAATGTTTTAATAAAGCACAGATCTGTGCAACTTACCATTTTGTAGAATTTCCAGCTACTTCTTCTAGGGGACGCTTGCAAGCCCTTTTAAATTTTGATTGTAATTTGTACCAGCCGAGCAGTTGTTCTTCTTATTGTTGTTGTTGTTTCTTTATTGACGGAGGCGATGACAACGCCGTTGGTTGCCAGTGGCTACCGGTGTGGTTACCGGCTCTTAAACAAATGCCAAGCAACCGGATTGCTATCTATAATTTTATATTTCCAACCTGCGTGTAAGTGTGAATTTGTGATTTTCGGAAAAACGACTGAAAATCTGACGCATTCTATGCTGAATGTAAAGTTTTATATTGAGACCCAAGTTCGAGCTACAAACCAAGTAGCACTTCTCGCTTACTTCAAATTGTTTTGAGTGGCCGCAGCCTTCAAGTAATTCCGATTGGTAGCAATTGGTGCTGACTACGCGATACCCTGTACTATTTACCCGGTGTTAAAACTCTTTAAGCAATAACTAACTAACTTTAAATGAAACAAGAACACACAACGTTATCGAACGTTTTTTGTCAATATGTTTGGGATTCCTTGGGCATAAATTCGGTTTAATCGGTCTATTCAATTTAAGGCCTGTTAGTAGCCATTCTATCTTTCATAAATGAAAATATAATATCAATAAAATATTAATTAAATTCAAATAATTTTTCATCAGTTGCATATACCTCACTGTGCTTCAGGGTATAGGGTACAATAAATAGGAAGAAAGCGACAACGAAATTAAAATACAAGTTGATAAAGTTAACGGCTAGCCGATAAAATTGCCAGCAACCGGGTCGAGTCGCATAAATATCTACATAACTAACCTCGTGCCAGTGCAGTCGACCCTTGCACTCACTTGACCCGCCTGCCCCACTGCATCCTGCCCCCTGTCCCAGTATCATGTGCCTCTGAAGTAAATAGTTTCTGCACATTTTAAATGCGTTTGTTGCACATTCAGAAACTCGAGAGCGTAATTTAGGTGGCAATCATTAAAGTTGTTTGGCTTTTAAGAATTGCCCAATAATTATATAATCAGGGTAAGGCAGATATTTACAATTTTTTTTTTTAACGGCAGAAGCTGTTTTAATTAATTAGATCTGGCCGCTGGCTCAGTTGAAGCTAATCAAATTATTGAAGCCAAAACTCTTTGATTAGATCACCTGGGAAATGCAAGGATTTCTAATCTATTTCTATTCCTCTCGGGCGAGAAGCAAACTTTAAGTCAGACACGAAAGCGAAACTTTGGTGCGAATATTTCACGCCTTAATTCATGTGCCACTGGGCCGAGCAATTGAGCGTGCCAGATGGGAGGGGGGCTTGCGGCAAGGCGGGGCTGTTGTTTGAAAATTATGCGCTGCTTTCTTGGCGGTTGTGTAAACAGAAGCCCCAAATAAAAAGGATATTGCCGGCTGTTTGGGCTTGCCGGTTAAATGCTTTAATTGAAATTAATAACCGCAGCCCAGTTGAGCAGTCGAGCAGACGAGAAGACTAGACGGGGAGACGAGGTGACGAGGTGACGAGGAGGCGAGGAAGCGAGTAGCTCAGCAGTCGAGCCTTGGACTGTTCCACAGTGGGGCAGGAGTCGTTGCCTTTTCCAGCTAACTTGACTATCAGGCTGCCCGGCTGCCTGAGAATTTTCAATTGTTTTCATTAAAAGTCAATTTTTGAAGGCGCCGGCAACTTCAACCCTTGCCGCCAAAATGCCTCACGGCCGTTTGTTCAGGGGTTGTGGGAGTTGGTGGGATGTGCCGCATAATTTTGTATTGGCAGATGCTGTTGTCCATGGGCCATTGCACGGCTAACGGTAACGGCAACGGTAACGGCTGCAAAGGGTCAGGCGGCATCAGGCTTCCTTGGCGCTGATTGAAAGCGAAAGTAAGTACGATACTTGCACATAGATACACACACCCACACATACAAAACAAGACATATTTCAAATGTTATTATTAAATTTGCTCAGCCTTTAGCTTTTGTCTCCAAATTAAGCATAATAATGAACTCTATCTAACAGGCATTGCCGAAGAGCAGCTCATGTGTTGTCAGCATCGATTCATCCAGGTTTTCAATCATGCACCATTTATTACTTTTGGCTATCAAAAGTTCCGCTAGCTTTACAAATACAATTGTGGGCCCATTTTAATCATAGGAATTTACCCAAATTGATTTGACATTTCAATTATATTCGATTTAAGATTGAAGTTGTTGAGGGTAAGGGAGGTATTTTTGAATTGTTATCAATTAGCATAATCTGAAATGCTTAATTTCCCTTAGTTTCGCATTTAAAATTTATATATTTTATTCTGTTTTCAAGTTCAAATAGGTTTTGAAGCTTTCAATTGCATCTACAAAGTTCTGTTAAGGTATTTTAACTTTATTTTTTGTAACTTTATTTTTTGGAAAAAACATCCAGTTGAGTTTTAAATAAAATAAATTTAATTTCAAATACGCGCTACGCATTTTGAGAGATATAAATAAAATAATTTAAGTAAAATATCGCACAAATAAACAAGGATGTTGGAATCATATAGAAACCAAATACTATTCGTCCGAATGCGAAGCGAAATTTGTTGCAAAATACAAAATCCGCAGTTTTAAGGACGGGCTTAAAGTTGGTGGAAAAATGCTTTACTTGGGGCCAATTAAATCAGATCTTTGAACGATTCAACATTTTGGACTCGTATGGCTTTTGAAACAAATTCAATTCTAAGTTGTAATAGAATTGGATACAAATGGGAAAAGGGAATATAAAGTCGGATAAATAAAGTCTGATTGTGGATTCGTGTGACTAAAGACTTGTTATAATTTTTGCTAAAACTAGGTTGGTTTTTATATACATAACGTTCTATCAATTTAATAGGTATTTTTTGAATAAGCTAGTAAATTTGTTGCATTAAAGATTTCACTTTCAGGCGAAAACGTCTTCAACTCCACAAAAAAGTCTGGCTGCTCGAACTCATATCTGGCAATGCTTCTACTCGAAGCTCAGTTTCCACCCAATGGGAAGTTTCAGCTAAAAAGTTCAGATTCCCCGCCCTTGCTGTAAGGGTGCAGAGTCTATTATATAAGCATATATATTATATTTTTTTTTTCTCAGTGTCTGCATTTTCCTGGTAAGCACGTAATTAAAATATAAATGAAAAATTGAATTGAATAATTTCCTTTAAGTTCTGTAAAGTTTTAAATAACCACAAACACTCTGAGAGTAATGCACAAAGCTGAAAACCACATAAAATGTTTTTGAATGGCACTCGAGAAATATACTTACTAAAATCGTGTGTAACAAATAGTTAATCTAAATGAGAATTTGCTGAGCTTAACTTTGACTTTGGCTAAGGATAAGCCTGATCTCATTTTGGTGACTGTGATTGTGTCTCTGTGTGTGTTTGTGTGCACTGTGTCTGTGTGTTTGTGTGTGTGTGTGTGTTGACGGGGGCAGAGAAGCGTGCTGAATGCGGTTGCAGAAGTTATTTGCTGTGTTATTTTCAGAACAGCTTCCGCTTTGCTCAGAAACGGACATCCTGTTGTGTTTGAGAGTTAAATTTGCGCAGCTGCTTAGACTAACGGACTAACGGCTCTTGTCCTTATTTTGCCACATAGCCGCGCCCCCCGTCCGACTAACCAACTGCCCACCGCACACAGAAGTAGATAGAGACAGCTTGTGCTTCTATATATTATTTTTCATAGTTTGACTTTTAGATATCTACCAGCCGGCATATTTACAAGCTAAACAAAAAATGTCTCCCCAAAATTTCGCCTGGTAAACTGTATTTTGATCCCATTTAACTCATATTTGTGTGTACGATAGTATGTTGCTGTCTGTCTGTCTGTTTGTTTGTCTATGCGCATGAACATTTATATATTTAAGCTAGGTACTTAAAACCATTAATACTTATATATTAGTGAATATTCAAAGAAAGTTTTCGAAATATTGTGGGGGCGAAAATCTATATTTACCAAGGTTAGTTAATTGGCATCACCAAATTTAGCAGGTAGACTACCAATAGCCCCATCCAAAGATTGATTGGAATTGCAAATGGTATATTTGCCAAGTTCTATCAAGGGAACACATTTCGCTAGACTATCTGTAAACAGAGTAGCGCGGAGTCGTGTAAAGTTTTTCTATTTTCATCATGTATTAATATATACTATATCCGATTCCAATTCATTACTAAGAAATAACTTTATACTTTATGTAAGTCGATTTAATGTGATTTTAAATTATTTATAAGCCGTTTAACAGATTATACAAAAAATTGTTAGAATTTAAATATATCTTATAAATATTTGGTATTCCCGCTCTGAAATAACTGAACTATTTGTAATTGTAATAAATATATTTGTCCTTTATTTGTAGAATTTCATATGGGCTTTTTGTCATATTCATTTCTTTGTTGTATTATTTTATATGTCTGTCTGTATATATGCTCGTATATAACTATGTAATTATCTATATAAATAAATAAATATATGTATATATATAAATTTATATATATATATATATATATGTATATTTATCAATTTATATATGCATATAAGATATATTTGATTTAATACAATTATATATTTTTCGATTTTACTTGATTTACGCTAACTGCATATTTGTGTAAGTATGCATGCATGTATGTATGTATGTATGTGTGTATGTGTGTAATTTCATTAATGTATTATATTCGTATCTTTTGTTGCTTTCGCTCAATTGAACTTCTTTAAATTGTCTGAAATGCTCGGAAACGTATTTGGCAAATAAATCGTTGTTGCCAAGTACATTTGCTTATTGAATTCAATGTAAACATATTTAGTAATTAAATTTAATACATTCCTTATGTACATGCATACATACATACGGGTATGTACGTACATTATTAAGTATTATTATTATATCTATCAATATTTAGTTATTATTGTGTTGTTTGTTGTAAACATTAAGCTGATTGCCTATTTATATACAAATTAAATTTTGATTAAGCTGAATGACCAGAAACCAGTTCCCCTACCCCCCTCTCCAGGGCCCCTGATGTACTGATGTATGTACATTGTTGTAGACCTGGGGCAACATGTCTTGGCGCTTCTTATTCAGTTAAGCTACCTTTAATTATACTTTTGGGTTTACAAAGTTATTGTTTATAGTACTTGCAGCACTTTTTCATATTTTGCTTTTTTCATATTATATTTCACATATATAGAACATATATCAATTAGTTATATGTGTGTCTGCATGTACATCCATTTGTGGGTTGCTATAACATGTAAATCGATTAACATATATACATACATAAATAT